GCGCCCGGTGCGCGGGTGCAGCTCCCCGCCGCTGCCCGGACCCCCGCCGGACCCCGGTCCTGGGCCGCTCCCGCCGGGGGGGCCCCCACCCCCACCCGGCCCCGGCCCGGGGCCTCCCCCAGAGCCCCCACTCCCACCCGACCCCGCCGCCATCGCCGCTGACACCGGGGCCGCGCGACAGCCGCGCTTGGCGGCACCGTGGCAACCGCGGTGCACGGACGCCCTGAGGGAATAGGACCGGGGGTGGGGGGGGGGGGGTTGGGGTCAGATATGCTTTACGGCAGTGCCGGGCAATAAAGCATCCCGGGTTAGGGAACTAAGGACTACCACGGTGGGAAGAGAAAAGACGACAGGGTCGGGCAGGTTTGCTTTACGACACGGGCGAGGTGACGGAGTGGCTCCAGAGGGGTGAAGACGGGCCGGGAGCTTTTGCGACAGTGGGAGAAACGACTGCCGCAGGCATCTTTACGACGCGACGGGGGGGAGTTGGTGCAAACACTTTCAGCTTTGCGACAGCTGCACCGACGACCCCGCCTTCGTCGAAGCAGGCAACACCTTGAAGTATTCGCTTTACGGCAAGGGAAGGGGGGAGCTTTCCTTCGCTCTGCTCGTTTCGAAGCGGTGTGAGCGAGCTCTGAGTTCCCAGAGCAGGGAACTGGTAGCTTTGTAAATGAAAATATCTGCCCTCCCTACCACTGAGACCGGTTATGTCTTTCTAGAGTGTCGCAGTCCCTCCACTTTGTATCACAACTCTCCGCAGAGGCAGAGCGGCCCGGCTTTTGGGGGAAAAAAAGCTCGCGGATGTTTCTAGTCAAACCTATCTTGAGGTTTTAAAGCCACGAATAAAGAATCCAAAGGAACCCCGGCAGGAAGTTTCAAGCAACGGCGCTGACATTCCCCAAAGATTCCCCCAGAGCTGTCAACAACCCCCCAGCACAACTCCCTCGACGCTCACGCTAAGCTTGGAGGACTGTGACGTCACAATTAGGCTTCACGCCCCACGGCCAGGACCCCTGACTACGATTGGATAATTCGGATGAGGGCAGTGATGGGGAGAAAGGCGGGAACAAATCCCAGAGACAAAGAAAAGTCTTAGGGTGGGACACGAGAGGAGGGGCAAGCGGAGAGGCTCCCAGCCCGAGGTCCCTATACAGTTTTTCCGCCCCCCGCGGCTCCAGGGAGCAGTGGGGGAGGGGACCCAGGCCTAGCCCAAGCGTCCCCCGCCCGCCGCGGTGGGGGCGGGGCTATGTGGTGCAGGGAGCCGGGGCGGGGTAGCTTAGCGTGGCCCCTTAGTGGTGCCATGGAGAAGCAGAAATCTCTGGGGGCTACTAGCGGCCTCGACGGAGAATCTCCTGGAGGGCCAACCAGAGGAGTGCCCGGAGGCATCGGAGGAGTCGAGGCAGGCGCCAGGCTGCCCTCCGGAGTAGCCATGTTTCACGGTTCTGGGCCCCCCATACACTCCGAGGGAACCGTAATTGGCAGTCCTGGTTCTAGCCAGCCCTCCGGAGGGACAGCAGTCTTCGGTTCCGGCCTCAACCGGCATCCCGGGTCCGGTACACACCCTGGCGGGCTTAATTCCCCCTTCCCTGGAACCAGTGTATCCGGGACGTCCAACCTGGGGTCCGGGGGGCCTGGGGTGTACAACTCGGGATACATTCCGCACTCCGGGTCAACTTGCATGCACCCCGACAAACCCTGTGAGGACCGGCCCCGGAGCATACTAAAAAACAGAAGCTCCACCGTGATGCACAAATCCCCCAGGGCGGAGAGGTAAGGAGTCCGGGAGGAAGGGATTCCAGACACTAGAGGAGGCGGAGTCAGGGGAGAAGGGGCGGAGTGCCAAGAACTAAAAGTGAGAGTAGGTGAGGGTAATTGGGTAGGAAATCTGAGGTTCCTAGCCTTTGAGAGAGTAGCAGGTACCCTAACTACATCGTACGTGATTGTCATCAGGTGTGACCCCATCCCCAGCCTCCTACACCTCTGGAACTACAAGGGGGTGCAAGAAACAGTTTTTGAATGACTGTAAGAATGAGAGAGGGCTGTGAGGAGGAGGGCACTAGAAGGTTTCCTCCCCCTTTTTTGTGTCCTTCACTCACCCGCAGGAAAAAATGTCAGCGCTGGGATGAAATGAATATTCTGGCGACCTACCACCCTGCTGACAAGGACTATGGATTTATGAAGGTGGATGAGCCCCGCACTCCCTACCACAGGTGCTGAGCCCTCAGCCCTAGCCCTTCAGCCCAGACTCTCTTCCCTACTCAAAGGAGTGGGGGACTGCCTGCTATCCCCTTCTGAGGCACTGCTTCCTCCCTCCTGTGCAGGCTGAAGGACAGCGACGAAGACCTGCTCGCGGGGACCTCTCACACAATGACTCCTGAGGAGCTAGCAGAGAGGTGAGAGTCCTGCCAGAAGTCAGTAGGGAAGTGGGGCCTCTTCCTCCCTCCACCCCTGAACTCAGGTCTGAGCTGGCTCTGCCTTCGGGCCCCCCCCCAGATGGGAGGTACTACAATTTGGATCAGGACTCACCCAGGCCAAAGTGGGGGCGTCAGCCAGCTTTGCCCCATCTACCACCTGCTCCCATTGTTCTCTCCCTTCTGTGCCCCCAACTGGCTTCCCTCCCCTTCAGGTTTGCAACAATGGACAATTTCTGCCCCAAGGTCTTCCTGTACAGTGATAACAGAAGCTCAGGGTCTTCAGACAACTTTTCCAAGACACGTGAGATGTGGGGTGGGGATTGAGTGGAAAGGGGGTGGCGTGAGCCTTCAGCGAGAGCCTGGCAGGAAAGCCAAGCTCTGACGCTGGCCCACAGAATCCAGTGATTTTGAAAAGTGCCGCAAGGCACACTACAATGAAGGAAAGTTCCTCAAGCCTCCGAAAAACCTGCCCTTGGATAATAACAAGAACAGCAGTGTGGGCAGTGTCAGTATGAACAATGGCAGTCGAGGTGTGATGCTGGCCTCAGAGCCCAGGCCTGTGGAGAGAGGCAGGGCAAGAGGACCGACCAGAGGAGTCAAAGATGAGCTTGGCCTGGTGGCCAGGAACCACATCCTAGAAGTCAAAGGTTAGCTATGGTGGGGCCCCAGGGACCCAAGGTAATTGTAGTCCAGAACCTTCTCCATCATAGCCTGTCTTCCTCAGGGCCCTGCTGGCTGACAGGGAGGTCGTGCTGGAAGGTGACCCCAGGGAAGACAGAGGGCAGCTGGAGTGGGGTCCTCATCAGGATAGCCCCCAAGGAAGGCTGGCTGGGGAGGAGGAACAGAAAGCCCAAGCGAACCATGGCGGGTGGAAAAGTCACTGACGTTTTTCTAAAAATGGGGGGTGGGGGGTGATAGAAGTGAGATGAGAACCTGGGGCTTGAGCTTCTCCCCGGGGCTTGGGGGTCACAGTGGAGCTGGTGGCCTGTATTCGCTAGGTGGCCACATGACTCAGATTGATTTGGGTGACTCCTCAGCTTCCCCTGCCTTAAGAAATCAGTCCCCAGCTTCATCCACCGCTGTCGTGTTGGAGAAGGAAATTGATCTGCGACGCAAGGAGTATTATAGCAAACGAAGATATCTGAGGTGCTCTCCCCACCCTGAACTTGAGGAGGACACAGAAGATGAGCAGCAGACCAGTGAGAGCTGGGCTGGGTCAGCCTGGGAGTGGGGCGGTGGCCGAGAACCAACAGACTGATGGGTGCCCCAACCCTGATCCTGTGATGCTTCCAGGCTCCACAAGCTTGAATTGGGTGATTGAGAATCCTATAAGCACTGAGGTCCGTCTGCTGGACCACACTGGAAGCCCCTCGCAGGATTACAAGGCCACCGAGAGTTCCCTGAAGGTGACGGTGATGTCATCGAAGCCTGGTGAGGGCACCAGGCCACTATCTCACCAGGCCTGGCTCTTGGCAAGCTCCCATCCCCCCAACCCCCATTCCCCTCAGGTCAGTAGATCAGCAGCAGGTGATGAGAGAGGCCCTCAACATCCTTGGGTGCAATGTGGGGACCCAGGGAGGCGCAGAGGGATCGGGACCTCCTGCCAGCTTAGCACCACCGCTGCCCCTGTGCCTCCTTCCTGATTCCTCTCTGCCACCTACCCTGCTCCAGGTACTGCCCCGTCCTCCAAAGACAGTGGGTCCCGAGCAATGTCTGGCTGGTGTCAGTGGCTGGTATCCAAGGGGCTGAACTGGCAAAGCACCGAAGGCTCAGAGAGGGAACCTGGAAGCCACCCAAACTCCTCAAACCAAAACTAGCACAGATGTGAGCCTGAGCAGGGGCAAGGGGCCGGCCAGGGAGGGAGAGGGGCTGAGTGGGTAGGTTCTAGGGAGTCAGGGGGTCACATGGGCCAGATCTTTTGCCTGCTGCAAGAAAGCCACTAACCCAGTCCCTCCTCTCTCCAGATGAAACCCTGCAGCTCCAGTGGACTCAGGAGGAGGAAACCAGACGATGGAAACTGTAGCCAGCTGGGGATGGGGTGGGGGCCAACCTGTCCCCGCCTTCACACCCTTGGTAGGGGTAGACAATAAAGAGAAGAAAAGCAGGAGTCTGGGTATTGGGGGTCTAGGCTGGGCCTGAGCTGTCATTGAGGAGTGGGGGGCAGAAAGGGAAGTTCACACACAGGAAACCACAGGCAAGCAGAGCAGAGAAGAAAGCTTGGAGTGGTCTGGGGGACTGGACTCAACAGGCCCGCAGGAGTCCAAGAAGACCCCACTGCAGCCGTCTGACAGTGACTGGTGTGATTCAGTCAGCCATACACCAGTATCATCTTTAATGCTTACAACACCCTGGACGTAGGAATTATCATGCCCATCTTTCAGATGAGGAAACTGAGGGTCACGCAATCAGGATTTCAATCTGTATGTCTCAGGCCCCCACAACTCAACCACTGAAGGAGACTGAAGCAGAGACCAGGGTCCCGGTAGGAAGGTGACTGCAGATAGGCTCTGAGGGCGGGGCTGTGGCTTTTCTGATCTCAGGGCCTTTCTCCACCGCCCAGGCCCCGCCTTTACCCCTCCCAGCGTTGCCTGGAAGTGTGGGGTGAGAGCTCCTCTTAGGACACCCCTTCCACTTAGGGAAAGAATCGCGCCCCCCAGGCTCTACCCAGGAGAAGATCCTCTCCTTCTTCCACATCAGCACTCCGCCTCCCTCCGGGGCAGGGAGTACCGCCACCTGCATCCCCACCCTCCAGGCCCCAGGGCCCACTGGCCCCGGAGCAGTCAAGCTGAGATGACGGTCAAGCTAGATTTTGAGGAGTGCCTTAAGGACTCACCCCGCTTCCGGTAAGTGTGCACAGGTCTCCAGGGGCGGGGGAGGGAGGCAGGCAGAGGCGGGGAGGTCCAACACCCCCTAATACACACACACACCTTCCCCAAGTTGGAGGATGTCTTTCCAGGGAGTAAGTCTCAAAGGGACAAGATCCAGCTTATGGGCCAAAGCAGTACCTCTGCTATCGAATCTCGTGCTCTGATGCTCGCCACCCACTGCATGTGTGAAGGGGGCCCCTCCAGCCTCTCTCACTCCCAGAGCTGGCATTCCCTCCTCCCTCTCTCTGGACCCCTGCCCCTCCCCCAGCACCTGCACTGGGCGGTTAGCAACTTCCTGCCCTCGCCACATCCACCCTCTTTCTACCCTTCCTGCTCTGGCCTGGGCTGTAGTAGCTCCCACACTGTGCAGAGTGAGCGAGCCAGAGAGGGTGGGTGGGCAGTTCTTAACCCATCAGCCTTTTCCGTCTGTACCCTTCACCCCCTAACCCCGACCCCCGACCCTGCCGAGGTGGACAGACCAGATGGACCCAAGCTCTGTTCCTGTGACCCCATCCCTCCTTTCCCAGAGCCTCTATCGAGCTGGTGGAAGCCGAAGTGTCGGAATTGGAGACCCGGCTGGAAAAGGTGATCCTGACGTGGAGAGAGGTGACCCGGGGTGGGATTAAGATGAGAGGGGTGAGGCCAGGGAGAAAACTAGAGACCAAGAATGAGTTCCGGGGATTACTGAATGCTAACCAGGTGGGGTAGATGTTTGGGGCTACAGAGGAGCCAAAAAGTGGTTCTGTGCCCTCAAGGGGCTCAGAGTCTTGGAAAACAAGAGCACCTGTGGGCTTCCTTGGTCGGTTCTTCAGACCTGCGTTATGCTAGCCGTGGGCGCCTCAGGGAGAAGCAGGCTGTTTCTGCCCTCAGGGGGCTCACAGGCTAACCGTGGAAAACAAACCAGTAAACCAGTAAAACACTTGAACACACACGGTAAGGCCTTCCTGGATATTCTTTATAAAAACAGCACACTCCCCCCTCCCTTATTTGGCTTTTATTTTCTTTACAGCCTTTATCTCGATCTGACACGTTATATGTTTACTCGCGGTATTAGTTTTCTATTATTGTGTAACAAATTATTACAAACTCGGTGACTTAAAACAACGCACAGGTGTTATCATAGGTTTTGTGGGTCAGGAGTCAAGCGCAGCCTGACTGCTCCGCTCAGGGTCTCACAGGCCGCAGCCGAGGTGTTGACAGAGGCTGTAGCCTCATCCGTAGCTGAGGGTTTTCTTCTGAGCTCATGTGATTGTTGGCAGAATTCAGGTCCTTGCTGTTGCCGGATGGAGGCGCTCATCTCCTAGAGGCCACCCACAGTTCCCTGCCACCGGGCCCTGTCCGTAGGCGGTTTACTTCATAGCAGCCTGCTTCTTCAGTGCCAGCAGCAGTCTCCCTTGCATGTGCTGGCAAGATGGCATCAGTTCACGTCAGAATGTGACCACAGCAGTGAATCCGTCACCTTTGTCATTTGGGGGTGTCATCCCATCGCCCTTGCCATATCGTATTCTACTGATTAGAAGCAAATCACAGGTCTCACTCACCCACACTCAAGGGGTGAGGATTATGCAAGGGTGGAATCATCAGGGGTCACCTTAGCTGTGTCTGTCAGGCTTGCCAATTTTTTTTCTTGTCTACTCTTCCCCACTGGAATGTAAGTGTCATGAGGAACTTTTACATTTTGTTTTTGCTCAATCCCCAGTGCCTATACCATGTCCTGAAAGTTAGTAGGTGACCAAATAATATATACATTTTTTAATTGACGTGTAGTTGATTTACAGTGTTGTGTTAGTTTCTGCTGTACAGCAAAGTGATTCAGTTTACATATGAATATATACATATATTTTTAAGTTAAACTTTATATTTTTAGTTAATTGCAGAGTCACAAGAAGTTGCAAAAATAGCACAGAGAGATCCCATGTACCTATCTCCCAACTTCCGCCAATGACAGCATCTTCCATAACTGTAGTATACTCCCCATACCAGGAAATTGCTGTTGGCATGATACAATGAACTGTCTAAAGACTTTACTTGGGTTTTACCTGTTTTGCATATACTCTTAAAAAAAAAATCTTTGTGTATAATTCAATGGCACTTTATCACACGTATAGATTCTCATAACCAATCACACTCAAGATACAAAACTCTTATCACGGGGCTTCCCTGGTGGTGCAGTGGTTGAGAGTCCACCGGCCGATGCAGGGGACACGGGTTCGTGCCCCGGTCCAGGAAGATCCCACATGCCGTGGAGCGGCTGGGCCCGTGAGCCATGGCTGCTGAGCCTGAACATCCGGAGCCTGTGCTCTGCAACGGGAGAGGCCACGGCAGTGAGAGGCCCGTGTACCGCAAAAAACAAAAAACAAAAAAAAAAAACCTCTTATCACCACAAAGGAACTCTTTTGTGCCATTCTTTGTAATGATAACCCCCCTCCCCAGCTCCTTCCTCATCCATGACGACCACTCATCTGTTTTCTATCTCTAGGCTTGTCATTTCTAGATTGTTATCTAGGTAGAATCATATAGTATGTGACCGTTCAAGATTGGCCTGGCCTTTTTTTTCCTCTCAGAATAATGTCTCTGAAGTTTATTCAAGTTGTGGCATATCAGTAGTGATCAGCAGTTCATTAATAGTTCACAGATGAATAGCTCATTCCTTTTGCCTTGCTGCCCCATGCTATTGTATGGAGGTACCAGTGTGTCACTAGTTCAATCTTATGAAAGTTCCTTATTCAGGTATTTGGGAAGGAAGGTGAGGTGGTTAAGGAAAAGGCTGGACACTCAGTCCGCCACCTCCACACGGTGGAGTTGTGGTCATCTGGATGGTTGTCCCTTATCACAGATACCGGGTGGTGACATCTGATAAGGTTTGATCATGCTCAGTTTCCTGACCCTTACTGACCCTGCCAGCCATCTTCAAGTCAAGCTATATTTCCCTGAAGCCTTCACTAGCCCTAAAAAGTGTCTTTCACTTCAACAAAAGTTCCACAAGCACCTATGTAGCCCACGTTCTCTGAGCCCCTGGTTCCCAGGATTTCCTCAGAGAACCTCTATGGTGGTCTCCTGTTCCCTGGGCTGAGTTGACAGGCTCCACAGACACTTGCCCCATCCCAGATATAGTGACTCAGGCTAGAGCCAATGGTGTCACCTCAGGAGCAAAGCAATTCCTGCAGGTAACAAGGGCCAGGGGTCAGAAGACCTCACTTTGGCTTCTGGGTCGGCCACCTTGCTCTCCCAGAGATCCTCCTCCGGCCAGTCACTTGTCCCTTTGTTTATCAAGCCTCCTTGTTTGTAATTAGGGCCAGACAGAATGGGCCCTAGGAGCACCATCTTTGCCCTGACCCTCGGGCCTAGCTGACAGATTAATATTTATGAGGGAATGTTTACTAAGCACAGAATGGACAACTGTAGACAGTAAATACTGTAGAATTTAATACCAACCAGATAGAACATTCATCCTGGGTGTCAGGTAGAGCGTGAGGATGGCATTTCTGGGGAACTCTGGATCCAAGCAGACGGAGCAGGGCAGGAGAGACGTTTTGGAGGTGAAGCTGACACTGGCTTCGGTGACAGGCTGGGAGGAATTTTGTTCCAGGCATGGAGTAGTGGGAGCAAAGAAACAGAGATGAGAAAGCACCACGTGTGTGTTAGAAACTGGTCTGGGCCACAGAGGAGGGGGAGGAAGGGGCACAGCCCTGGGAAAGGGGAGAGGAAGTAGGACAGGAGCGGGGGTGGCACTGGGTATTGGTGGCGCATGGCACGACTCCCCGTTGCTCTGTTGCTTCCTAGCTCCTCAAGCTGGGTAATGGCGTCCTGGAAAGTGGGCGCCACTACCTTGCCGCCAGCCGGGCCTTCATTGTTGGCATTTGTGACCTGGCCCACCTGGGTCCACCAGAGCCCATGATGGCGGTATGTGGAGGGTGGGGTCTGGGATGTGGAGAGATCCTGTGGAAGGGGAGGGTTGGTCTGGGGTCTGCGGGTCCCAGGCCAGAGCAGGCTGGGTCTAGGGATGGGAGGGCCCTACCGCCCATGCCTGATACTCTCTCTCTGCCTCTTCTTGCCTAGGAGTGTCTGGACAAATTCACTCAGAGCCTGAGCCACAAGCTGGACAGCCATGCAGTAAGTGGGGGTAGGTAGGGCTGGTGAGGGGAGCAAGGGCGTCTGTGGTCCTGACCGCCACCTGCCAATTTCTGCTTCCCTCAGGAGCTTCTAGATGCCACCCAGCACACACTGCAGCAGCAAATCCAAACTCTGGTCAAGGAGTGAGTTAGGAGGGAAACCAGTCCTCCAGCCCTCTTCCCATTGCCGCGGGGGCCTCCCTGAATGAAGGAGTTGTGAGATTGGGGGCTTCTGGTGGCCTGATTGTTAGCCCCCATCCCAAGGATCCCCTTGGAGTTCTGACCGTCCATAGGCTAGCTGCAAGACTATGAGCGAATCTCAAGGACTTCTCTGCTGGGGGCAGGAGGGTGTATCGGTGATTTTCTGTTATCCCCACACCCCCAGAGGTCTCCGGGGCTTCCGAGAGGCTCGCCGGGATTTCTGGCGGGGGGCTGAGAGCCTGGAGGCTGCTCTGACCCACAACGCAGAGGTCCCCAGGCGCCGGGCCCAGGAGGCAGAAGAGGCCGGAGCTGCTCTGAAGGTTGCTCGAGCCGGGTACCGGGGACGGGCCCTGGATTATGCCCTGCAGGTGCCTGCCCCAACCTGTCTTCTTGGGGTGCCAGGACCCCAGTCACCTCGAGGCTGGAGAGTCACTGGTGTGCAGTGGGGGGTTGGGGGGGTGGGTGGGTCGTGCGTCTGTGTTTTCAAGGCTGACCTGAGGTCTTTTGGGCTCTCAGATCAATGTGATTGAGGACAAGAGGAAGTTTGACATCATGGAGTTTGTGAGTTGCCGTGGGCGCGAGGGCGGGGGGGAGGAGCCTGCTGATGGGAGCAGGAGGGAGAGGAAAAGAGAGGGGTCTGCCCTCTACCCACCTTGTCCCCCAGGTGCTGCGTCTGGTGGAGGCCCAGGCCACCCATTTCCAGCAGGGCCACGAGGAGCTGAGCCGGCTGGCCCAGTATCGCAAAGAGCTGGGTGGCCAGGTAGAGACCCAGGGCGCAGGCAGGTGGAAGAGGGAGGGTAGGGGCTCTGAGATGACTCTCCTGGCCTGGTTTTGGGAGGCTGGGCCATCTGAGATGCCCCTCTTGTGCTCAGTTACACCGGCTGGTCTTGAATTCGGCTCGAGAGAAGAGGGACATGGAGCAGAGACACGTGCTGCTGAAACAGAAGGTGAGGGCTGGGCTGCGGGCAGGAAGCAGATGGGCCTGGGGCCTTGGTCTCTGCCCACTTCAGTTGCCCTTTGACCCTTTTGTGCCCCCAGGAGCTGGGTAGGGAAGAGCCAGAGCCAAGCCTAAAGGAGGGGCCTGGTGGCCTGGTCATGGAAGGGCACCTCTTCAAACGGGCCAGCAATGCATTTAAAACCTGGAGCAGGTGAGGAGCAGATACCCCAATCGGCCAAACCCATCAGGTTAAATTTTTTTGAGTGTGCTAACTACAGCCAGGAAAAACAGACAAACCCCCTGCCTTCAGAGAGTTTACATTCCGTCAGCAAAGACAGACAAGAACGTAATAATTAAGTAAATTATCTCTTAGAAGGTAAGAGTACCATAGGTGAAAAATAATAAAGCAAGCAATGTGGAGAGCTGGGGAGGAGTTGCAATTTTAAATAGGGTGGGCAGGGAGTTCCCTGGTGGCCTAGTGGTTAGGATTCCGGGCGTTCGCTGCCGTGGCCCGGGTTCAGTCCCTGGGCAGGGAACTGAGAATCCCGCAAGCTCTGTGGCCAAAAAATAATAATAATGATAAAAATAAATAAATAGGGTGGTCAGCAAAGGCCTCATGAAAAGATGACTTCTGAGTGAAGACTGGAAGGATATCTGGGAGAAAATGTTCTAGGCAGAAGGAGGAGCCAGCACCAAGGCCCTGAGGAACCTGGAAGGTTTGAGGAACAGAGAGGAGGCCCAGGGTGTGGACAGAGGGAGGGAGGAGGAAGTGGTAGGAGATGCAGGTGGAGCTAATGAGGACGTGAATCACGACAGGGCCTTGTTGGCTCTACTCTGAGGGAAGTGGGGAGCCATCGCAGGGTGCAGAGCAGGGTGGTGATCTGCTCTGACTCGACCCCTTCCCCTTCCAGGGCCACTGCCAGCCCATATGGGATCTTTGCGCAAATTAGAAGGGAGAGCCCCTTCTCCAAGCTACTTTTTTTTTTTTTAATTTTAATTTTAAATTAAAAATTTGGCGGGCCACACTTCATGGCTTGCAGGATCTTGGTTCCCTGACTGGGGATCGAACCCGGGTCCTCGGCAGTGAAAGTGCAGAGTCCTAACCACTGGACTGCCAGGGAATTCTCTCCAAGATACTTCTACTTGCCAAAACATTGTAGCAATAGATTTATTAGACAATGCATTTTACTGCCATCTGCTGGAAAGTTGTCTTCATAAATGTTATCAAATCTGGGGTACTCGGGATGTGAATAGCACCCCTTAGATGTCCCTGGCTGCACCTCTGTCACCCTCCTCTGGAACATCTCATGGGATGGGCAGCCCGGTCTCTCTCCTCTCAGCAAGATCCTTATGGGACTAAGAGCACAGCCTCTCTCCTGTCTGTGTCCCGAGCTGCATTCCAATGTCGCCCATGTCATTAACCCTACTTCTGCCTCTTCCAGACGCTGGTTTACTATTCAGAGCAACCAACTGGTTTATCAGAAGAAGCACAAGGTGAGTAGGCCCAGGTCCTGGATGCCCAGGCCCAGGAGGACTCAGCCCTGCTGTGGCTGCCTGGACGCCTGCCCCCCGATCTCCTTTCCCTGTCAGGACCCTGTGACTGTGGTGGTGGATGACCTTCGTCTCTGCACAGTGAAGCTCTGTCCTGACTCAGAAAGGCGGTTCTGCTTTGAGGTGGTGTCCCCCAGCAAGTGAGTGCAGTGCCCAGGGGTGACACCCGTATATCTCAATTTTACCAACTGGAAAGCCAGGGCCAATCACAAAGGCATCCCTGGAGCAGGATCTTGGAGTCCCCTGATGCAGCCCCAGGCATTAGCCCTTTGGTGGCTCAATTGGGGGGCAGGCTAGGGGAGGGTCTAGGGTGAAGGGGGATATCTGGAAGGATATTACCAACTAGTGCAGAGGTATTTCAATATGAGTGGTGCCAGCTGAATACTAGCTGAATGTCAGCCTGCCTGTCCTGCCACTCGGCTCCCCAGGCCTCAGACCCCTCCCTGACCTCTGGCTGCCCCCCTGCCCAGGTCCTGCCTCCTGCAGGCTGACTCAGAGCGCCTCCTGCAGCTGTGGGTCAGTGCTGTGCAGAGCAGCATCGCTACGGCCTTCAGCCAGGCTCACCTTGATGACAGCCCCCGGGGTCCAGGCCAGGTACCTTAACATGGGGGTGCAGGGCCAGACTGCCCAGGGAGATGGGACATCGCTTCCCCTAGACCTCAGAGCCACTCTTTCTTCCCCTGTCTCCCCCAGGGCTCAGGACACCTGGCCATGGGCTCCGCCGCCACCCTGGGCTCTGGCGGGATGAGCAGGGGAAGGGATTCTGGTGGAGTCGGGCATGTGGCAGCCCAGGTGCAGAGCGTGGACGGCAATGCCCAGTGCTGTGACTGCCGGGAGCCGGCTCCTGAGTGGGCCAGCATCAACCTGGGCGTCACCCTCTGCATTCAGTGCTCCGGCATCCACAGGTCACTCCCCAAGGTCCCAAGCGCGGGCCCCTGCTCTTTCTGGCAGCAGTGGAGTGGGATGGAGGCAAGCTGGAGCCCAGCACAGGGGCTCCTCCCTCCCTTCCCGCCCTGCCTGGGCTTCCTCTCAGATTCTGTCTGTCGCTGGGCACAGGCCTGGGCCAATCCTGTGGGGCACAGGGTGGACCCAGGTGGGCCCAGCCCCTCAGTGTCCTGGTCTGGCCCGGGTAGGGGGACACCCAGGGGAGTTGAGTGGCTTGACTGGAGGAGGTGCGGGGTCAGGGCTGCTGAGGGTGGGGGAGCTGACGAAAAGCAGAGAGAGATGTCAGATGTTGTGAGGCCTTAGCAAGTCTATGCGTCCCATCATTCTGGTGGAAGCGGGGAGGGGGAATGGCGTGGAAAGAGTTGTCCCGGCCAGAGTGCGTGGAGAGAGGGGAGGTGGCTGGAGAGGATGAGAAGAAGAGAGAAGAGGGAATGGTGAACAGGCGGGATCCTGCCAGATACAGGTCAAGGCTGCACGGCCCTGGCTGCCCTGCTGCCTCCTGGCCCAGTGCCTCTGCACGGGACCCCCACGCCGGACCTTGCCCCCAAGTCTTTCCAGGAGCAGCAGCACCTCCCCCGGCTGCTTCCCCCACAGAGGGCCTGACCTCCCCTCTGCCCTCCAGGAGCCTTGGAGTTCATTTCTCCAAAGTCCGGTCCCTGACCCTTGACTCATGGGAGCCGGAACTCGTGAAGGTGACTTGGGGTGATGTGAGAGTGTGGGGTGCGGTGAGGGCAGGGCTGCAGAGCCCTGAGGGCTCAGACACTCACCTGCACCCTACCCGTCTGTCTCTGCCTCCGCCTGGGCCGCCTGAAGCTCATGTGTGAGCTGGGGAATGTCATCATGAACCAGATCTATGAGGCCCGTGTGGAGGCCATGGCCGTGAAGAAGCCAGGGCCCAGCTGCTCCCGGTGAGGCTGGGGTGGAGGGACTGGGGCTGCCCTCCTTATGGGCAGGGAGGGAGGAGAGCCTGGGATGGGAGGAGGGAAGACTGTCGCCTTCTTCTCCCACAACCCTCCCCCACCAGGCAAGAGAAGGAGGCCTGGATTCACGCCAAATACGTGGAGAAGAAGTTTCTGACCAAGCTTCCCGAGGTTCGCGGGCGAAGAGGTGGCCGGGGGCCCCCGAGGGGGCAGCCTCCTGTGCCCCCAAAGCCGGGCACCATCAGGCCCCAGCCTGGGAGCTTCAGACCCAAGCCAGGTATAGGGTTGGCTGGGCATTTGTTGAGCGCCTGCCGTGTGCTCAGCATGGTGCCAAGCCCGGTGGGTCTGGGGCACACGTCTTCCCCTAGAGCCTGTTACGGGGGGCCACAGCCCACTGGCACTGGTTTTTCGAGGCAAGAGTTTCGGGGATTACGGTGAAAGATGGGAAGGACCGTGGGGCTGGGAGGAAGCCAGGAGGGCTGTGTGAGGGTGTCACCAGCATGAGAAAAGTCAGGAGAATGAGTTAGGTCTCCAGAGGCCTGTGGAGGAGGGTGTGAGTTTGGCTGGAACCGAGGGAGCCAAGAGAGCTGAGGCTGACCGTCACCATGTCAGCTCACCCCTGACATCCCAGCCAGTCAGGGTGGTCGGACAGGAAGAGGTGAACACTGCCATCTATCCCATATGCCCTAGGGGACCTACCCACATCCACTCACACCCACCATCACCTCCCACCACAATCCCCAGTCTTGAAGGCCTCCCCACAGTTGAGAAGTGAACTATCCCATTACAGCATCAGGGGACTGTGCTGAGGGTTTTCTTCCCAGATTCACAGCTGGTTCCCCCTAACAGAGCCACCCTCTGAGGACCTGGGCAGCCTGCACCCTGGGGCCCTGCTCTTTCGAGCTGCTGGGCATCCTCCATCCCTTCCCACCATGGCTGATGCCCTCGCCCATGGAGCCGATGTCAACTGGGTCCACGGGGGTCAGGAGCATGCCACACCGCTGATCCAGGCCACAGCTGCTGTGAGAGTCTTGCCGACCTCCCCACCCCACCCCACCCTTAGGCTCCTCCTCTCCTCCCCTACTCCGGACTTTGGTCCCAGCTCTTAGCCTCTCCCACCTCACAGGGAGTGATAACCAATAGAGCCTGTTTGCTAAGAGTGTGAGATTTGGAGGCAGACAAACCTGGGTTTGAACCCAGACCCTCACCACTTACAATTATGAACCTTCATGTACCTCAGTTTCCTCATCTGTAAAATAGGGATAACATACCTCATTAGGTTGTACTATGGATTTAATGTATGAATACATGTAAAGAGCCGGAGCAGAGCCTGCCATCCCATACCCACCCTCGGAACTGACCCCACTCTAAAATATCTTTAAATTTGCCTCAAAAGATGCCACCCTCTATCCCCATTCTCTACTTCTCCACGCAGAATTCTCTTCTGGCCTGTGAGTTCCTCCTCCAGAACGGGGCAAACGTGAACCAAGTGGACAGCCACGGCCGAGGCCCGCTCCACCACGCAACCATTCTTGGCCACACGGGGTAGGGGCGGCAGGGATAACGACCTTGAGGAGGAAGGCTCCAGACAGGGTGAGGGGCCAGCTGAACTTGGCTGTCCTGTCCAGGCTGGCCTGCCTATTCCTGAAACGGGGGGCCGATCTGGGAGCCCGAGACTCTGAAGGCAGAGACCCCCTGACCATCGCCGTGGAAACAGCCAACGCTGACATCGTCACTCTGTGAGGATGCCTGAAGAGGCGGGGCTAGCGCTTGCACTATCCACTTGGGCGGGGCTAACGCCGAGACCCCTGCGTGCTAGGCGGGGCCTGGGGAGGGGAGGGGCCAGCTCCAGGACCAGACGTTGAAAGGAGGCTCCAAGTGTTGACCGAGGCTTGGAGTAGGAAGGGGGGAGGGCAGGGTCCGAGGAAGGTGAGTTTATTCTGAGAGAGGCATCATTCATTAACATTGTTGTCAGGCGTCTTTAAAGCACTAGACCCTGGGGAAACAGGTGAATGAAACAGCCCAGCTCAAAGGATGGGAGTTGGGGCGGGGGGAGTGAGGAGAATGTCATTCATTCCTTAATTCCCTCCCCTTCAGGCTGCGATTGGCAAAGATGAGGGAGGTCGATGCGGCCCAGGGCCAGGCTGGTAAAGTACCCCCCACCCCCCTCTCTCCCCACACAACATTGTAATTCTGGGCTTCTGGCCGCTGGTGACCCGTCCCCAACCCCCTGTGCCCAGCTTCATTGATTAATTACATCATTTATTCAACAAGTATGTATTGGGCGCATCCTACGCGCCGGGTCCTTGAAACAGAGCAAAGAATAGGCGAGGGCGCCGCCCTGACGGTGCAGATGTCCCTTCCACCCACGCTGGAAGCGCGTGCTCTTACCAGGCCGGGCTGTCCCTATTGTACTCTTCCGTGCTAGGGCCCAGCCACCCGGCATCCCAGCCCTTCCTCCCTCCCCTCAGGAGACGAGACGTATCTCGATATCTTCCGCGACTTCTCCCTCATGGCGTCCGACAACCCGGAGAAGCTGAGCCGGCGTAGCCATGACCTACACACGCTTTGATCCCAGGCCTTCGAGGGCCCGCACCCCCCATCCCTGCCCTTCCCACCGCCCGCCCTTTTCTATTAAAGCCTTTGTGCTTTGCTCTTCAAAGTTCATTTATTGAGCATCCCCGTCGAGCGGGTGAGGTGTAGGACACTGAGGCTTCTGGGGTGCAGGAGCGATTGGGAGTTTGCGAACTGGAGTCACTCGAGGGGCGACTCCCGGGGAGTGAACTGGGAGCTTCGGCCTCGGCCTGAGTGCCGGGCGGCTCTGAGGCGGGGCTCGCGGGCTCAGGAGACGTGGTCAGACCCGTCAGGCCCGGCAGAGGCCGCTTGCGTGGGCTGGGTCCAGCCTTCTCTGGGGGGAATGGGGGGTGCTGGCATAGGACCGGGATGGAGAGGCTGGCTCGGGCCACCCCAGCCCGGAAGCATCCCTGGAATGCGGCAACTCAGCACCCGCCCCCTGGGGAATTCCCTGCGGGAGCGACTAAAAAGGAACTAGTCCCCAACCCCCGACGGCTGGGCCTCAGTTTTTTTAGCGGCCGGATAGGAGACGCCGGCCCCCGCCGAGTTGCAGACGTGAGGTCGGGCACACCTAGGGGCCGGCGGGGCCGTCGCGGCCACATCCTTAACGACGCGCCTGAGTCACCCCCCGGACCCCACCCGCGCTAGCGCCCGCCAGTCCAGCCCGTCAGCCCCGTCTCTCCAGTTCGCCACTCCGCTTCCACCACCACCGGAGCCGCGCGCTCCGGGCGGGGGCGGGGCGCCCAGGGGGCGGGGCTGCCTCTTAAAGGGCCCCCGGCCGCTGCCCTTAGGCCACCTCCTTGGGGCGGAGAGTACTTAAGCGGCTGCGGCGAAAGCCGGAGAAGGCGGCGGCGCCCGGTCCCGAGACTCCCGGCTGCTTCCATAGGAGTCCTAGGACACTCCCAGCTCGGATTGAGCGTGTATCTTCGCTCCCCAGCCGATACAGAGGCACCTCCGCCATCGGCTCCGGTCAGCCTCGCCTCCTTCTCCTGGGACCAGCGCCGGAGCCAGGCCAGGCCAGGCCTCTGACTGGCCCCCGGAGCCCTGCGTGGACTTGCCCACGGTGACAGCGGTCTGCCCGAGAAGCTGGTCCCTTCAGAGTCGGCCTTGTGCTCGCCACCGTCACCTGCTGGTTGGATTGCGGAAACCCACTGTCTGAAGACCACAGAAAGGAATCGCCGACCACCCAGAATCGGATGCGTCTGGACCTAAATCTCCCGTCCCTCTCTGACTTCCCTCTGCTCGTTTCATCCGTTCTCTCAACCTTTCCGGCGTTTCTGTGCCCGGAAACCATCCTCCACCACCCAGGTAGCTGGGGTGAGCCCCCAATCTTGCTGCCTTGTACTCCAACCTGAGCCTCCGACCCAGAGACAGTCTGAACCTTACGACCCAATTCTGCACACATCCAGGAAGTTCTGCCTTTCCTTCTCTTTCGGTGTCTTCGACACTCCTCAAAATTTCTCCTCCTCCTGTGCCCTCCTCGCCCCCCTCCTTTGGGGGCCCCGTGACCCTGAATGTCGGGGGCACGCTATATTCCACTACTTTGGAGACCCTGACTCGATTCCCAGACTCCATGCTGGGGGCCATGTTTAGGGCTGGTACTCCCATGACCCCCAACCTCAATCCCCAGGGAGGCGGCCACTACTTTATCGACCGAGATGGCAAGGCCTTCCGGCACATCCTCAATTTCCTACGGCTGGGCCGCCTGGACCTGCCCTGTGGATACGGGGAGACAGCGCTTCTCAGGGCAGAGGCTGACTTTTACCAGATCCGGCCCCTCCTGGATGCCCTGCGGGAACTGGAGGCCTCTCAGGGGACCCCGGCACCCACAGCCGCCCTGCTCCACGCAGATGTAGATAGCAGCCCCCGCCTGGTGCACTTCTCTGCTCGTCGGGGCCCACACCACTATGAGCTGAGCTCTGTCCAGGTGGACACCTTCCGGGCCAACCTCTTCTGCACCGACCCTGAGTGTCTGGGTGCCATGCGTGCCCGATTTGGTGTGGCCAATGAGGACAGGGCAGAGGGAGGCCCACACTTTCATCTGGAATGGGCCCCCTGCCCTGCAGAGCTCCCCGAAGTGGAGTACAGGAGACTGGGGCTGCAGCCGCTGTGGACTGGGGGGCCAGGAGAGCGACGGGAGGTGGTGGGCACTCCGGGCTTCCTGGAGGAGGTGCTGCGGGTGGCCCTGGAGCATGGCTTCCGTCTCGACTCCGTCTTCCCTGACCCCGAAGACCTGCTCAACTCCCGATCTCTGCGCTTTGTCCGGCACTAGGAACTGAGAACTAGGAATGCTGCCTTCAGTTTGACGGTGTGGGCGAGGGGGAGGTTAGAAAGAATGGGTCAGTAAAGAGGGTGAAGTCTCTCCTGAGCCTCTTCCTAGCTCTGCTCCTGGAGCTGTGAGAGTCAGGGGCCCCGTTGCACCTGACTGGAGCCCAGATGTGGGCAGGAATCCCCAAACCAGAGAGAGCCCAAGGGCTCATGAGACCAGAGGGTCTGGACTGGTGCGAATCCTGGGAGGGGTGGGGAAGCTTCCCTGGCTGGTCCTCGCCTGAGCCTGGGGACCTTCGGTGTTTCCTTGCTTGGAGCTTAGTATCCAGGGTCTGGAAAAGTGGGGATGCTTCTCTGCCCAGGCTAGGCTTAGCAGAACCGTGGAGGGACAGTGGGGTCTGGGGGAAATGAGAGACTTTAGATTGCTCTAATGTGGTCTTCTGGACTGTGACTTCTCCTGGAGCTGGTGGCCTGGCCTGGCCTGACCAATGATAGGTCAGAACACTCTGAAACACGGGAAGGGAGATTCTTTGCTGTGTTCCAAGCCACCACTGAGGGAGACAGAAGGGCTACACCCCATCCTAGCTTGGCACAAGGGAGCTAGGAGAATCCCCATTAACTATGGGGCTGGAGCATCCCTCTGGAGATCCAAGTGTTTTAAAGGATCCCATATTGATGGTGGGGCTGGCCATGGGGAGGAGCGGGGCATCTCCTTGCGTCCTGGCCTTCCTTCCTTCATGTGAACGTGCCTGTTAGCCAGTGAGTCTGACTGATGCATGGGTCCCTGGCATCCTGGCTCCCATCCATGTCGCTGGAGGTGGTGTCTGTGTGCTGGCTTTTCTGTGGTCTCTGCGTGTCCAGGCCTGTTTGGGGTTGCTCAGAAACTATTTTGGCACCAGGTGTGTCCGCGGTATGGGTGTGAATAGACTGAGAATTAGGTTAATCCCAAGGTGTGTGTGTGTACATGTGCTTCACATCACCACGTAGGCAGGAGGGGCCTGCTGGGCTTTGAGTCACTAGGATCTTCTGGTGAGAAGTAAGAGAAGTCACTGGGCTTAGCTGGGCCTTGGAGGCCTGTATAGAACTCTCGGTTACTAAGGCAACAATGAGCCTGTTGCTAGGAGATAGCTGGGGAAGGCCCAAGGCTGCCCAGGGCAGAGAGGAGATGAACAGAAGAGTTTGAGAGAGTGGGGGAGGATATGAAAAGGGATGGGATACTCACAAACAACTTCTTCACTGGGGGAGTCACATTATTTATCACTGGTCATGATTTACAAGAAGAAAAATAAAGTTGCTTTTGGAACCACAAACTCGTAAAGGCTGCTGAGGGCTAGGTTGGGAGTACAGCAGAAGACCTGCTTTCTCTGTCCATGTCCCACTAGAGGTTTCTTCTTCTGGCCCCAGTTCCTTGGGCCCCAGGTTTACCCCAGTCAGTCAGGGATGGAGCAGTGGCACTGTTCTGGAATGTTCTAGAGACTCCAACTGTTCTGGAACACTCTAGAACCTCCAGGCAAAGGACTGGAACCAGGATCACAGAGCATTCCAAGGCCTTCCCAGCCTACGTGGGGCCAGCCCCTGCTCCAGAACCCGCAGCGGGCCTCATGTGGATGCTGGCACTAGGTGGGATCTTCCTGGCAGCCGCCCAGGCCTGTGTCTTCTGCCGCTTCCCAGACCATGACTTGTCGGGCCGCCTGGCTCAGCTTTGCAGCCAGATGGAGGCCCAGTGGAAGGACTGTGAAGTCTCCTGGAACTTCTCGGCCTTTGCCTTAGGTAAGATCAGACATCCAGGGATGGGCTCAGCAACAGTCACCCCTGTGCCCTAAGGGGGCTGCATGTGGCCTCCCAGCTGTGCCTCTCAGCCATCTTCTCAGTCCACTGGCCTCTCTGGACACACTGGCCTCTCCCTCTGGGAGAGCTTCTTCAAACCCTGGGAAAGTCAGGAAAGGCCCCAGAACCTCCTTCTGGGCCAATGAGGGAATCTCGCCCCGTCCTTATCCATCTCCACAGATGATGCATCCTTGAAAAAAGTCACAGAGAAGACTCACAGAGTCCTGAGGGTCATGGGTGAGGTCGAGGGGGAGGTACAACGTAGGGGCTTGGATGGCACCAAGGAGGGGGTTGGGAGGAGGGGGCTGGGGAGGCAGGGAAGGGTGGTGGGTGGGTGGAGACAGGAGGGCGTGATGGGGAGGCACTGGGTGAAGGTGTGGAGGTGAACCGGCCCTGCTGAGACCCCGGGCACTAAAGCTGCTCTCTGCCTCCCCAGAGATCAAAGGGTCTCTCTCCTCACTCCTTTCATATTGGAAATGGCTTCAAAAGACCAAGCTCCCAGAATACAACAGGGAAGGTACCGATGCGGGGAGGGATCAAGGGGTGCCTAAGTCCTCAGGCAAAGGAGTGTGTGGCTGAGCTCATCCACCCCCATCCTCCTTGTCTTTCATTTCAGCTCTCTGCGCTCCCGCCTGCCGTGAGTAGGAAAGGGAAGGGGTAGCAAGGGCCAGGGGCCTCGGGGGACCTGAGGAGAGCCTGCAGTTTGGGGAGGAAGTGTGGGACTCTCGCAGGGTTCAGCGAAGCTTCCCGCCCCAGAGCTGGTCCTGCTGTCTCCTGCAGGGGGCAGCACCATCCTGTACAACTGCTCCACCTGCCAGGGCTTCGAGGTGTACTGCTGGCCCCGAAAGCGCTGCTTCCCAGGTCCTTACTCCCCACCCCTGCCTCACCCCGCCCAGATCTCTGAGCTGTTAGGCTACCCCAGTATCGATGGGTGTGGTCCCCGGGATCATTCACTGCCTCCTGGGGTCCCTGCAGGAAGTCACGATCTTTGGGAAGCCAGGATTCTGCTGCTCTTTGTCTCCGGAGCCGCCCTCCTCCTGGGTATTCTGAGCTTCGCGGTGGAGTGAGTTGGGGGATAAGGGCCAGAAACAGCCTCACTACCTCTGACCCATCAGTACCTTTCCCCACCCCCCATCCTTCCTCTTTCCCTCCCAGCCCCCTCCCCTTCCCTTCCCTGGGCTCCCACCCTCTGTCTTCCCTCAGGTACAGCCACCTCCAAGCAAAAAGTGACTTGTGAAGACGAGGACACATCTTAGCCTCCAGTTCTAAGGAGCATGTGCCCACAACTTTCACTTCTCTTGTGGGGCGGGGTGGGGGGGGAGGGGGGCAACCAGACCCTTAGTTTCAGCCCCAACGGTTCAGTCTTCCAGACCCTGATACCCAGACATCCCCACAATCCCAGTGTCAGATGGCCTCCAGGGACCCAGGCACCCACAGCTGGAAAGTTCCTCCCCTCCAGTCCTCAACCAATCAGACAGAGGCAGTCACCGTGCCAGGAAAATATCTACAGAAGGAAAGAATCCCCTCCATACACACTCCCACTCCCACACCCTCTTCTGCCTGTTCCCGGAAAGCGGGGGCTGTCTGCCCCAGAAGCTCCACTTGGCCCTCCTGTGACTGATTGGGAATCCGGGAATGAGTGTTCTGGAAAAGTCCCTCCCCCTAGGGTGAGACCACATCAGTCAGCCTGCTGGCATGCTGCCCTTCCATTTAATACTGTGAAGGCTCCCACAGAGGCCCAACTAAACCTGTGGTCAAATGGCCTCGACCTCTGCCTCGCCTCTGTCTGCGACTGGGGAGGGCAGAGGGAGCGCAGGAGTCTCTTGTAACCCAGGGGTTCTCAGCCGGGGGGTGGGTGGATTTTGCACGCGATGAGACGTTTGGCAATATATCTGGAGACATTTTTGATTGTTTTGATTGGGGGTTTTGAGGATGTGCTACTGGCATCTAGTAGGCAGAGACCAGGGATGCCGCTAAATATCCAAAAATGCCCGGGAAAGTCCTCCACAACAAAGAGCTATCGTGCGTGTCCGAACCGTCAGCAGTGTGTGGTTGAGAGACCCTGGTATTTGGTCCTTTGGCTATCAGGAGTTTGGGTTTGGGGGATGGGAGATGGGACATGAAAAGAGAGGCCTATCACCAACCGTAAGCCTCAGCCCGAGGACCTAGGCCGGCCTTCACCTAGCGCCGTGGTTTACAAACTGGGTCCCTAGAGGCTCCCAGTTCTCAACCAGCTGGACATTGGAGTCATCTGGGCAACTTTAAAAACTACCTGTTGCTGGGCCTCATCTCCAGAGATTCTGAGTTTAGTGGTCTCATATGGGGCTTCAGTTAATCCAACTTACAGCCAGGGTTAGAACCACTGTTTGGGGGATCCATTAAGGTCCTGGGGATGGAGAGGGGAATGCTTACCCCTCCCAGGAGAACACCTTCTCTTTTGTTCTACACATTCTAGTCCAGTCCTTTCATCTTACACCAAAAAATGAGACCCCGAGATCACACAGCCAGGTCGTACAACTTGCCCGAGATCATACAATGATTCATACATTCATTCATTTGACAAATACTAAGGGATTGCCGGTCACATGCCAGGCAGCGTTGCTGCCCGTACTGGGGTGAGAAACCCTCTCCCGACTGCCCAGGCACCACAGCTCTCCTCTGGTTTGCGGTAGCTGCCTCACACCCTCTTAGGCTGTGCCCTCTTTCCAGGCTCAACACTTTGGAGCTGTCCTTGTTTTCACACCCAATGTGCAGTGGGTCAACCGTTCTGTCCATTCCTGAAGGATCTCTATCCCATCTGTCTCCTCCTCCTGCTCTATGGCCCCCAGCCCACTCTAGAACCCTCTCATCGTGGACCCCAGCCTCCCAGATGTGCATCTGACTCTGCCCACGCCCCTCAAATCCACTGCACCCTCAGTGGCCACACTGGTCTTAAAACTCCACATCACTCAAACATCCTGTCCAGTATCAAATGATGCTTAAAAACTTGGGCTCTGGAGTTGGGCTGCCCGATTTCAAATCCTGGCTCTGGTTCTTACTGTACCTTGGGAAAGTCATTTAATTTCTCTGTTCCTGTTTCCTCATGTTTTAAATGCAGATCATATATTTCCTTGATTCCATGGCTTTTTTTTTCCTTTTTTTTCTGTTTACATTTAAACATCTCTGAAGAACCCATCTTAAATTGAAGACATGTCGATGGCATAATGGTATATATTACAATTGATGATATCTTAAATTCAACCCAGCGGTACTGACCTTACAGAATTACTGCGAGGTCCAAATCAGTTCATATAAAATCCTTGGGACTGTGCCCAACGTGTAATGGGCCCTCATTAAGTATCAGCCATTATAATCTCTTACTTAAAACCTTCCCTAGCTCTCCCTTGCCTGCAGAGTATAGAGTTGGCCCTTGACCCTGACATTCAAGGCTCTCCATCAGCAGCTCCCACCATCTTATATAGTCATCAGGCCAGAAATGTCCAAACACAGAACTGGAATCTCCCTTGAATGCCCCACAGGCATCTCAGACTCCACACGTGTCCACCTCCCTCAGACACGCCTTCCTCCTGACCCCACCCCCTCCTGGGATCTCTCAGGCTTAATGGCAGTGCCCACAGTGTCATGGGTATCCTCCTCCTCTCATGCCATGTGCCCACTTCTTACCTGTAGGTGATCTACCTTGGTCATACTTCTTGGAATCTGACCCCCAGGTGTCCCTGGAGCTTTATCTCAGCTCTGCCCACCTCACAGCCATACTGAGTCACTTCTAGTTGCCCCAACACTGTTTCCTCATGTCTGCTCGCCTTTGTCCAGTCTTGTGCCTCTACCTGGAATGACTATCTCCTTTGGCTCAGATACCACCTCTTCTGAGAGGCCTTCTCTGAGCTCCTGAGTCAGAGTGGCATGAGTCTGCTCTAGGCATCTCTCATGTGGCACCTGTTACATCAGGTGGTGGTGTTTCTTTACACATCTTCCCTCTACACCACGCATTCCTCTCTAAAGCCACTGCTTAAGGTTTTGTGTCTTTGTTTCCTCAGAGCCTGGCACATGGGAGATGCCAGGAAGTGTCCCTGATGACTCCAGCACCTTCTCTGAACACGTGTGATATGCCTTCCCCATATAAGCCCTTCATGAGCACTTAGCACAGGAGGCTGTGCTTTTTTTGTGCACATGAGGCCAACCGACCGCAGTGTGGCCTGCCAGGGCAGGGATGGTTTTTCTGAGCCCCTCACCAAACGGGAGGCTTCTGTGGGTGTGGCAGTTTTAAACAATGGCCCCACATTCTTTGACATGCCTCCCACCTAGAGGTAGGTTCTATGTATCCTTCCCTTGAACCTGGGCTCCATGACTAGCAGGCCAATTGAATGTGGCAGAAGTTACAGTGTGCCACTTTCTGAGCCCAGGCCTTAAGAATCTAGCAGCTTCTGCCCTCTGCCTTTTGGGACACTCACTCTGGAACTCAGTCACTCATGCTATGTGGATGCCCAGCCTACGTCGAGTCCACATGGAGGACTTCCCTGGTGGTCCAGTGGTTAAGACTCCGTGCCTCCACTACAGGGGGCACGGGTTCAATCCCTGGTCCGGAAACTAAGGTCCCGCATGCCGCGTGGTGCAGCCAAAAACAGAGTCCTCATGGAGGGATTCAGCCAAAAGCCAGCATCTACTGCCAGACGTGTGAGTGATACCACAGCTGTCAAGTCATCCCCAGGCTTTGTTTTTCCACCCAAGGCCCCAGACATAGTAGAGCAGAGATAAACCACTCCCACAGTGTCCCGTTGGAGTTCCAGACACTAAAAGTCCAGAGCATAATAAAAAAGTTGTTTTAATGCCACTAGGCATTGTTGCTCAACAATAGATAACTGGAACAGTGGGGCAGAAAAAAAAAGGGCCTAGGAGCTGGCACTAAAGGCCCTGGGTTGGGACTTCTCTGGAGGTCCAGTGGTTAAGACTCTGCGCTTCCACTGCAGGGGACTCAAATTCAGTCCCTGGTTGGGGAACTAAGATCCCGCATGCCGTGAGGCACGGCCAAAAATAATAATAATAAAATAAAATAAATAAAGGCCCTGGGTTGACGACATTGCTGGCCCTGCCACTTCCTAGCTATGTATGTACATGAGAAACATCACTTCACCAGCCTGAGCCTCAGTCTTCCTACCTGTAAAATGGAGTTAATGATGGCTAACGGGTATGGAGACTACATGTCAGACATCATTCTAAGCATTTGAAGCATTGTATTAGTTATCTATAGCTGTGTAACAAATTATTCTAAAACACAATTGTCTAAAATGATAAAGCCTTATTATCTCACAGTTTCTGTGGATCAGAAATTCAGGAGCAGCTAAAATGGGTGCTTCTGGCTCAGGGTTTCTGATGAGGGTGTGGTCAAGATGTTGGTCAGGGCTGCAGAAATCTAAGGGCTGGTGGATCAGCTTCCAAGATGGCTCACTCACACACCTGGCAAGTTGGTGCCGGCTGACGGCAGGAGCCTCTCCATAGGGCTGCTTGACTTGCCTCAGGACATGGTGGCTGGCCTCCTTCAGAGCGAGTGACCCAAGAGAGGAAGGCAGAACCTACACTGTCTTTCACGACCTAGCTCAGAAGTCACACGCCATTCTTTTCACAATATCCCATCGATTACACGGATCGGCCGTATTCATTGTGGGAAGGCACGGCAGTGTGACACCGGGAAGTCAGTTCGTTGGGAGCCATTTTGCAGACTGGCTACCACACACCTAGACACAGTTAATTCTCCAATAACCCAGCAAGGTAGATACTCCTAACAAGCTCATCTTGAAGATGAGGAAACAGAGGCATAAAAACGTGAAGTAACTTGCTCAGATTTCTAGGATGGTAAGTGGTAAAGCTGGGATTCAAACTCAGGTAGTCAGGCTCCAGAGGTGAGATCTCAGCTACTGCTCTGTAAAGGCCCTCAGCTCCATTATGAGCCTGAAGGAATATGGTAGATACAAGAGTGCTTCCACTTTAGGGGACTTCCCTGGTGGTCCAGTGGTTAAGACTCCGCACTTCCAGGCAAGGGGCCTGGGTTCGATCCCTGGTCGGGGACTAAGATGCCACCTGCCACGCAGTGCAGCCAAAAAATGAGGAAAAAAATAAAAAGAGTCCTTCCACTTCATAAAGTAAACCACCAGATATATACAAGGTGGTGGGCTGGTGACTCCATTAATGAGTGAGGCAAATGCAAATTGGGAAAGGATGGGACCTCAGGGTCCTGGGAGATGGAGATGGGGTGATGGAACAGAGGGTTTTACCCAAGGGTCTGGAGGGAGCTAACCATGTGGCGCCAGGGAGCGCCACATGGGGAGGGGGGCAGGGATGGCTTCACCAGGAGAATGTTTATAGATAAAGTTTAGAAACTGTCATCCCCATCACTCCTAGCAAAGGAGCTCATGATGTCAAAAATCTTTGTTTCACTCTCCCCAGATGACTCTGTCTCATCCCTTTGTTCAGCAAAGGTTACTGAGCACTTATAAGTCAGGCACTTAGACTGGGCACGGGGGACCTAGCAATGCCCAGGCAAGATGAAGTCACTTTCTACCTGGAGCTTGGAATCTAGCAGGGAAGACAGACAAGTTACTGGCTAATTCTACCAGAGCAATGAGTGCAATGACGGGAAAGCACAGGGATCTTGGGGTGCAGGGGAAGAGACCTGACCAGTTAGGAGTAGTCTTCCTGAACTTAGCAAGGCCAGGTTGGGAGAAGGGTGGGAAGACTTCCAAGCAGAGGGAACAGCCATGCAAAGGTTCAGAAGAGAGACAGCCAGAAGGCTGCGGTGCTTTCCCTGGCCGAGAGGTTGATGTGGGTCAGGTGGAAGGGGGAGAGCCTAGTGATCTCAGGGCTCAGAGGAGAAAAGGATAAGGTAAAGAGGCACCAATGTAGTTCCTGATAGGAGCCGAGAGGTTTCTGCACAAGGATGGGCCCTACTCCTCACCCAAACCGAAGGTAGGAGAGGGGAGGTTGGCCACCTGGGTGCCCTCTCTACTCGTCCTCCTGGTTCTCTGCCCTGCAGAGAAAGACTTGGCCCTGGTGGTGTGGATGTGTTCATCCTTCTCGGATGCAGAGCCTGCAGGCAGGGCAGAGGTTGGGGAAAGGCAGATGGAGGGGGTGGTGCTCGATCTGGGCCTCCAAGTTTAAGTGTTAGCAGGAAGCCCCATCTCAGCCTGGAGGAGGTGCTCCCAGTGGGGGTGAGGATGGTCAGGCTGTGCTCCCCCACACCCCATCATCCTTTATGGGCAAAGGTGGAGATGAGAGAAGCTTAACTCCAAAAGTAAGAAACAAATAGGGAGAAGGGGAGGGATAAAGGGGCCTCTGATTCCCTAGGTTTTTTCCAAGCCAAAGACAAAGGTGGGGCAGAGCCTTTGCCTCTGGTTTCCTGCTGGAGCGCAGAGGACCTAGGCTAGGAGTCCAATCAGTAGCACCCCCCATCCTCAGCCTCCTCTCCATCCCACAGCCAAGGTCCAGGCAGGGGCAGCCTCTCTTCCCTGAACCAGTTGTCAGGGCCTCTTCCTTGAGCTCCCTGCTGCTTCTCTCTCACCTTTCCCTAGCCTCTTACTACCTCAGGCTGGTTCTGTCACTAACCTGTTAAACCTTTCAGTGGTTACCAGAGCCCTCAGGTAAGGCCCAAGTTCCTTGAGTGTGTTCTGCAAGGCCCTGCAGAATGAATCCAACCAGGGCAAGGATCACGTCAGCTTGTTCACCTGGGTCCCCAGAACCGTGAAAGCTTGCTGGAAGGCTGAACTGATACCTAGTTTGGCTTCTGCCAGCCTCTCCAGCTGCATTTGCCTTCATATCCCCCCATGTGCTCTACACTCATGTATTCATTCAACTCCCAGAGGACCTCTAGTGCCCCCAGATCTGTGAGGACACTGGACATTCAGAGGAAAATCAGGTTTCACATGCTCTTCCCTGAAGATGCTCATGGAGCATTGTGTTTCCCACCAAGAACTTGGACAACACCAAGATGAATCTCAAAAATGGGTTGAGTGAAAGAAGCCAAATGCAAATAATAAACAGTGTGTGATTCCATTGACAGAAAGGTCCAGAGCAAGCAAAAGTGATCTATGGGTTTTAGAAATCAGAAGAGCAATTGCTGGGGAACTCCCTGGCATTCCAGTGGTTAGGACTCAGTGCTTTCACTGCCAAGGGCGCGGGTTCAATCCCTGGTCAGGGGAACTAAGATCCTGCAAGCCTGCGCTGCGTGGCCAAATTAAAAAAAAAAAAAAAAAAAAAGAATAGCAGTTGCCTCTGGGGAATGGCATTGATTGAAAATGGGCATAAGGCTACTTCCTGGGATCACAGGAATGTGCTGGGGACTTCCCTCGTGGTCCAGTGGTTAAGACTCCCCGCTCCCAGGCTTCCCTGGTGGCACAGTGGTTGAGAGTCCGCCTGCCGATGCAGGGCACACGGGTTCGTGCCCCGGTCCGGGAAGATCCCACATGCTGCGGAGCGGCTAGGCCTGTGAGCCATGGCTACTGAGCCTGCGTGTCCGGAGCCTGTGCTCCCCAACGGGAGAGGCCACAACAGTGAGAGGCCCACGTACCGCAAAAAAGGAAAAAAAAAAAAAAGACTCCCCGCTCCCAATGCAGGGGGCTTGGGTTCGATCCCTGGTCAGGGAACTAAATCACACATGCCACACCTAAGAGTTTGCATGCTGCAACTAAAAAAGCCCACATGCCGCAACTAAATAAAAGATCCTGCATGCCACAACGAAGATCCTGCGTGCTGCAACTAAGACCCGGTGCAGCCAAATAAATAAATAAATAAATAAATATTTACCAAAAAAAAGAAAAAAAAGAAAGAAATGTTTTGGGTCTTTATCTGCATTAATGGATATGTATATTTGTTGAAATGCATTGAACCATACAGTTAAATCTGTGCATGTTACTGAATATGTTATACCTCAGTAAAGTACTGTCAGTATAGAAAGCTTAGTAATGTTTATATAACTATAACTAACAAAACCCCTCAGTGTATGGATTAAACAGCACATCAGACAAAATCAAAGAGAGAATTGGTGAACTGGAAGAGAGTTGAAGAGATGACCTGGATTGCATTACAGAGACACAAAGAATGGAAAATATGGAAGAGGGGCTAAAAGATTTGAAGGACCAAAAAAAAAAAAAAAAAAGATTTGGAGGACAGTGAAAAGGCCTAGCATACTTCTAATCAGAGTCCTCAAAGGACAGAACACAAGGAAAGGAGGAAAAAGAGTATCTGGAGAGATACTGGCAGATAATTTTCCAAAACTGGTGAAAGATATGAATTCATAAACAAACGAAATACAATAGAATTAATAGAAAGGGATCCATACTTAGATTCTTTGTAATATAACTATGAAACACCAATGATATCTTAAAAGCAGGGAGAAAAGACAGATCACCTACAAAGGAATAACAATTAGATTGAGCAGTCTTCTTCATAACCAATATGCATTGCACCTATGATATGCCTACACTGTCCCAGGTACCTTAGGAGGAACAAGACAGATCCAGCCCCTACTGTATGGAGCTAGCCCACAGTATATCAGAGATGACAGATGTGGAGGGAACAATCACATCTGTCATATGGCCTGGTTGGAGGGCAAGAGAATTGGCAAGAAAACCACAGAAGTAGAACTGTGAGCTATGATTTTTTTCCCATTAAGGCTGGATTTTCCCATGTGTTTACCAAGATGAGGTGGGCTTTTCCTCCCAAGGGACTCTGGGGACAGCAGCTGCTATGCTTACACATCCTTCCTTGAGACAGAAGGAGACAGGCCAGATGTCCTAAGGCTGATGGCTTCCTCCCTGGGACCCCTGAAGGAAAAGGAGAGAGCATCCTTCTCCTCAGAGCCTTCTTTGAGCCAGACTGTGTCCCTGCCCCACAGGCCAAGTAGCACCATACTGGGCCCTGGGGTCAGCAGAGGTGACATGTGGGGAGGGGCTTATGCCAGAATGAGGCCAGGAAGTGCCAGTGATGGGAATGCATGCCCTGAGGCATGGAGTGCTGCCCTTGATCACCAAGACCAGGTACCAAGCTGGCATGGGGCTGAGGAGCCACTCAGAAGCTGTCTCCACCCCCAGCCCCCTCCACAAGAATCCCCACAGATTCCACCCTGCGGAGCTCCCCAAATGGCCCTTTTCAGGGGCAGCACATTAGACTGGGAAAAGGACATTCAGAGCTGGGAAAAGGCCAATGGCTTCAGTCTTAGACTCCGTCCGGGCTGGGAGCTGACTTCGTGCACCACCATCAACACCTCCGCCGTGGCGCCCTTCCCAAGCCCGCTGCACCAGGCCGGCTTCCTCCATCAGAGTGCCAGGAAGCCCTCTCCCCTACTAGGGGGCTGCGACTATGTCCTGTTGAGCCTTATATTCCCGGGGCCTGGGCGGGATATCTCTACTAGGTGCGTATTCATTTAAGGGGTGGGGCTCTGCTTGAGAGAGGTGGAGGACTTGGTAAGAGGAGGTAGGGGAGACGGGGACGGGATACCGAGGAGGAAGTCCAGGGAGGGGTGAGAAGTTCTTTGGAGAAGTCTGGAAAGGGGGTGGGAAGGTGGAGAGAGGGTGGGAAGGAGGCGAGCAAAGGACAGGGGAAGTGAGGCTTCTCAGGATCTGGCCTGGCGGAGAACATGCCGCCAGGCGCCCTCACCTAGTCCACCAGAGGACCCGGGCCACGCCGCCAGGCCCCGCCCCCCGCGGCCTCCGTTCCGCCCTCCCCGGGATTTAGTCCCGGCAGCCTGGGAGGCTCCCCAGCCGCCGCTTCCGCCTTCGCGAGGTGAGGGTCCGGAGAGGCAGGGGCGCCGGCGAGCGGGCTGGAGGGGCGGCCGTCGCTTGGGAGCGCGTCCGCGGGTGCTGAGCCTCCCCTCCCCAGTCCTTACCTTCCACGGGCGCGTCTCCTCCTGTCCCCCATCTCGTGCTTTCCCCTTCTCACCTGGCTACCGGTGCTGGTCTCCCAGCGTCCTGGGCTTTCGCCTTCCCCGCCCCTGCTCGTGCTCGATTCCTCGCCACCTCCGAGTGTCCATCTGGACCCTGCCTGGGGTCCTCCGCTTCTTCCGGCCTTTACTAAGTAGGGGGAGGGAGGGGACCAGGTGTGTGTGCAGGCAGCCGGCACCCAGATCACCTAGAGCCTTATTTAATAAAGATTGGTGGAGTTGCCCTGGAGCCAGGTTAGAGCGAGTGACTCAGGTGTGTCGGCCAGGCTCTGTACCTGGAGCTGAGCTCAGGTGGGTGTGGAAGGGACTGTGCACCTGGCAGACTGGGTGGCTCTGAGCAGTACGTGAGCTTAACCGCCCATCACAAATGCCCGATTTGATTTCAAATGTTGCTGCCTCGGGTGTAGAGGAGGCAGTGACCCTGGGCGTCTCTGGGCAGAGGAGGCAGTCTGCCCACATAACGTAGGTATGTGTGGACACTGTAACTTGATGTCTTGTGTGTTGTGTGTGTTTGTGTGGACCTGGGTGTCTCAGACATGAGGCGGTGTATCTTGGAGGCAGTGAACTCAACATGTCTCAAGTAGGTGTGTGTGAGGGGTACCTGGCAGGAAGCTTGGTGTTCTACCGCAGCGTATACTGGAATGCCTCAGCTTTGAGAGGACATGTATCTGGGTGTCTCAGGTGTCTTTTGCATCATATCTATAGGAGTGTGTGAGTGTGTGTGTGTGTGTGTGTGTGTTGTACCTGCATATCTCAGGTATGGTGTGGTTAGTGTATCTGGGCATCTCTGGAGTGTATGTGGTGGGTCAGGATGTCTCAGGTGTACCTGAGTGGGTGTGTACAAGGGTGCACCTCAGGCCCAAAAGATGGTGAATCTGGGTGGCCTAGGGGTACGGGCAGTGTGCCATAATAGCTCAAAGTGAGCAGGGCCACACACCTGAAGTTTGTGCAGCGCTGAAATCTTAGGTGTGAGGAGAACATTCTTCCTGGGGTTTGTGTGTGTGAGGGGCAGGAATCCTGGTTGGTTCTGGTGTCCCTCCCTCTGTACCTGAGTATTTCTGAGGGGTTGAGGGTGGAGCAGGCAACCATGTCTCTGGTTCCTGAGTGTCTCAGGTGCCCACCCTGGGCCATGTGTCTGGAGGACAGGGCACCACAGGGGTTCCTCCTCCAGACATGCTCCACGAGGCGGGCTCCCTGTGGCTGCTTCGGCTGCTCCAGGATATCCAGCTGGCCCAGTTTTACCGACCCATCCTTGAGGAGCTTAATGTTACTCGGCCAGAGCACTTCGACTTTGTAAGACCTGAGGATCTGGACGGCGTTGGCATGGGCCGGCCTGGTGAGGGTCCCCTGCCCCAAGGCCCTGCTGTCTCCTTCCGCAGCCTGTTAGTTGCTACTCTCCCCCCCCCACCACACCCACCAGCCCCCTTCTTGCCTATAAATCCCTTGCATCCTGCTCCCCGCCTCCCCCATTACCCCATCCCTCTGATTCTGGCCTCCCCCAGCCCAGCGTAGACTGGCTGAAGCTCTGAAGAGGCACCGTTCGGGGCTCAAGTCTAAGAACTGGGTCTACAAGGTGTGTGTTTTGGGGTGGCGGTGAGAGGCTTAAAGGGCCAGCTCAGGCCCCGGCAGGGGCTGGGCTGAGTGGCAGAGAAGGATGTATGCAGGGTTCCACACACATGATTTCCACCACTGTTTCAGATCCTTGGGGGCTTTGCCCCAGGGCAGAAGGAGACCACCCCACCCTCAGACAGCCTTCCATCCCTCCCTGAGCCAGATGGGGGACTCAAGTGTCTGATCCCAGACCGGGCTGTGTGCAGAGGGGAGCTTCTGGGCTCCGGCTGCTTTGGTGTGGTGCACCGAGGGCTGTGGACACTGCCCAGTGGCAAGGCTGTGAGTCTCCAGGGAGCCTACTTCATTCTGGGTACCTGGGCCAGCTTCTCCCTCTGTTCTGTGTGCCTCTCTGCTCTGGCCTTGGCTTAACTGTTCCCTACGTTGCCTGATGGTGCTTCCCCCCACCCCCAGGTCCCAGTGGCTGTCAAGTCCCTCCGGGTGGGTCCCGAAGGCCCCGAGGGCACTGAGCTAGGGGACTTCCTGCGAGAGGTATCCATCATGATGAACTTGGAACACCCACACTTGCTGTGTCTGCACGGCCTCGTACTGGGCCAGCCTCTGCAGATGGTGAGCAGACCCAGACGCCGGCTCCCGGGACAGTCCCGGGGGCCGATGTGCGACAGCAGGGTGAGCGCCAGGGTCTCGTGGGGCCGGACCACCGCTCGCACGGCTGTGCTCCCACAGGTGATGGAGCTGGCGCCCCTGGGCTCCCTGCACGCACGCCTGACCGCCCCGGCCCCCACGCCCCCGCTGCCCGTGGCCTTGCTCTGCCTCTTCCTGCGGCAGGTGGCGGGGGCCATGGCGTACCTGGGGGCCCGCGGGCTGGTGCACCGAGACCTCGCTACGCGCAACTTGCTGCTGGCTTCACCGCGCACAATCAAGGTGGCTGACTTCGGGCTGGTGCGGCCGCTGGGCGGCGCTCGGGGCCACTACGTCATGGGCCGACCCCGCCGCATCCCCTACGCCTGGTGAGGGGCCGGGCGGAGGGGAGGGATCTGAAGGGCAGGAGCTGAGGGGGTGCGGAGGGGCTGGTCCTCTGAGGGAGGCGTGGACTGGAGGAGTCGTCGTCGGGTCTGGAAGGGCCAGGAATGGAGGACTTCTGAGCATCACGGCGGGCGCACTAAAGGGGCGTGCCCAGTGGCAGGTGGGCGCTCCGGGGCACACACCCGGCACACATCCAGCCCCCTTTAGCTCCGCTTCCGCAGGTGTGCGCCGGAAAGCCTGCGCCACGGGGCCTTCTCTTCTGCCTCGGACGTGTGGATGTTTGGGGTGACGCTGTGGGAGATGTTCTCCGGGGGCGAGGAGCCCTGGGCCGGGGTCCCGCCGTACCTCATCCTGCAGCGGCTGGAGAAGGACCGAGCCCGCCTGCGTAGGCCTCCGCTCTGCTCCAGGGCCCTCTACGCCCTCGCCTTGCGCTGCTGGGCCCCCCACCCTGCTGACCGGCCCACCTTTTCCTACCTAGAAGGGCTGCTCCAAGAGGTGGGAACTCCTGCCTCCCCAGAAACACTCAGTCTCTTTTCCCTCCGTTCCCTCTCCCAGGGTTCCATGCACAAGACTAACGTATACTGGTTCCCGGGCTGGGGTCTGGGACCTGGCTCTGAACGAAGCAGATCCAGTCCCCGCCTTCCAGGGAGACAGCTGGGGTCTAGTGGATGCAGGCTGAAGGGCCGGAGGCTGGAGCAGAGAGAGGGAAGCCCGGAGCCCAGAGCAGTAGGATGTAGTGGGTGTTTGACAGGCAGAGGAAAGGTTCAGCGTGAGAGGGGGAAGTACGGTGATTAAGGTGGTAGAGGCATCTTAGGGGTGCACCAAGGAGGGACTTGTGAGACACGGTAAATAACCAGCGCTAACACCTAGAGCACTCGATCTGTGTAAGATACTGTACTAAGTGCCTTACGTGTATCCTTATACATGTTCACTCATTTAATCCTCACAACAACCCAGCTCGATTTTAGAGAGGGGGCAGTTAAGGCACTGACAGTTAAAGCGATTTGCCAAAAGTCACACAGGAAGTGGAGGACTGGAGATTTGAATCAGTCAATATGACTTCAGCGCTGTGCCCTAAATCACTATATACTCTACTATTAAAGGAGTTTAGTCCTTAACTCTGAGGGCACCTGGGGGCCATGGAAAGGGCTGTGAGTAGGGGAGTTATAAGCCACATTTCCAGGTTATGTCACTCTGGTTTGGTGCAAGAATGGATTAGAAGGATGGTACTGAAGGTAGAAAAACCAGTAGGCCACAGTGGCTGTGAAGCAGAAGTAAGATGAAGAGGTCTGGACGAGGGTCGAGGCAGTGGTGCTATGGAGAAGTGGAAAATTCCCAGAGGTGCTTGGGAGGCAGATATGATGGGCCTGGGTGTGGAGTAAAAGCAGTGTGCGTGGTGACTCTCCCCTTGGTCCCCTAGGTAGAGGCAGGGTCCCCCTTTGTTGCTCCCTGACCCCTGGGCTGTGTCCAGCTTGGCATGGGATCCAGGTCTGCCTCCTCCACTGGATTACAACTGAGGGACAGGGACAGTCCCACCCTGGGGCCAGGGCAGAGGACATACCTGGTATGGGTTTGCTTGGTGGGTACACGAACAGTCTCCACTCTGCTCCCATGATATTACCCTTCTGACTCAGGCCACAAGCCCAGCCACCCTCTCCTCCTGTCTCTATAGGCCTGGCCTCCTGAGGGACGTTGTGTGAGGGATGTCACAGAGCCCGGTGCTCTGAGGATGGAGCCTGGTGACCCCATCACTATCATCGAGGGCAGGTGAGGGCCTTGTGCCTCCCACCCATCCCCGGGGGAGGACTCCCTCCCCACCCTCCTGGCCCTGGTCCCAGCTCAGCTTCTCCCCAGCTGCTTGAACCCCAACCCTCTGCCTCATCTCCTCCTCTCCCCGCTGGGCCCCGAGAGCTCCACCACAGTTCTGGCCTCCCTGCTGGAGCCACCGCTGGCCCATAGAGCCCTTTTGTTTTAGAGAGAAAAAAAGCTTCCCTTCCTCCGGGCAGATGCAGCTCCCTGGCGCACAGCTTGTGAGCTGAATGTGGGCTGGAGCCCAGCCCTCACTCTCCCCTGGCTCCCATCCCCTTCACCAGCGCCTCTTCCCACAGCCCCGACTCCACAACCTGGAAGGGCCAGAATGGTCGCACATTCAAAGTGGGCAACTTCCCAGCCTCGGCAGTGACGCTGGTAGACTCACCAGCCACCCGTCCAGTCCTCAGAGGCTCCCCTGCCCGGGGAGAGCGACACCAGGGAAACATAGATGGGTGAGGACCTGAAAGAGTGGGGGGCAGAGCTGGACTGGGGGAACCAACCAAGTCTAGCAACTTCTCTGGAAGGGGAGCCTGGGGAGGCGGGTGGGGTAAAGCTGGAGGGGAGGCTGGACTTGCCTTCCCGCTGGAGCTTCCACTCTGGGTCTCGGCCTGCCTGGAAGCCCCAGAGATTCTTTGGGAGAGGGCACTGCTATATGGGGTAGGGCTGGGGGGTGTGGAGAATGAACTGGAACACTCTCCAACAGGGACAGAGTGAAGGTAAAGCTTCGGGATCCCCCTCCAGCTCGGGGCCAGAGAAGGGATGTGGCCCTGCAGAGGATGAAAGGTGGGCATGGCGGTGGGGACAGGGCTTCCAGGGTCTCCGAGGACGTCAAGGACAAGCCTCTGGCGATGCCCCCTGCTCTGAAGCCCTGCCTTTGCAGATATGATTTCCCCACCTGTGGTTTCCTGGCCCCCATTCTGCCTGCTGACATCCTGGCTGTACTTTAGACAGCGTCTCCCCACTGCAGCCCTGGCAGTTCTTTGGACCCTCAGCTGCTTCGGCCTGGGCGTCCATCCTGCACACCTAGTTTCTTGTCCCCCCGACACGAAGACCACCCCGAGGACAGTACAGATAGCCAGAGAATGGGAAGAAGGCAGCTGGGCTTCCTCTCAAGTTATTTTTTCTCAAATGTGTAGGCATTTCCAAGAGTCTGGAGTCGGTTCTGTCCCTGGGCCCCCGCCCCACAGGAGGTGGGTCGAGCTCCCCCGAACTTCAACATGCCAGAACTGTGCCCCAGGGACCCCCAGGCGTGCCCCCCCGCTCCCCCGTAGCCACCAGCTCCTCTTCCCAGCCCAGCCAGCCTCCCAGGGAGCGGCCTCCCTGGCCCAAAAGAGAACCCCTACACAGTCACCCTGTGGGAGCGCCTGGAGCCAGCAAAGCCACCGTCCCCTCTGGGGGACCCTTGCCTGACCCCGAGTTGCAGAGGAGGATTATGGAGGTGAGGTCTCCCTGAAGTGTCCTGGTGTCCAAAAGGGGCTACGGGCTGGCGAAGGGCCTAAGTGAGGCTTTGTCCCCGGCAGGTGGAGCTGAGCGTGCATGGAGTCACCCACCAGGAGTGCCAGGAGGCTCTAAGAGCCACCGGGGGTGACGTGGTTTCTGCCATCCGGAACCTCAAGGTACAGCCACACCCTTCTCTCGGGTCCCTGCCCCTCCCAGCCTGGCCCTCTGGCCGCCAGCTGCCCTTCCTCTTGTCCCCACAGGTGAACCAGCTCTTCCATCTCAGCAGCTGGTCCAGAGCGGACTGCCGGCGCATCCTGGAGCGTTACCAGTGGGACCTCTCAGCCGCCAGTCGCTACGTCCTGGCACGGCCCTGAGCTCTGCTCCTTTGGGCACAGACACCAGATGGACCAAGGGCCTGGTCACGTGGGACCAAGCAGAACCGGAACAAGGTCCTGACAGGGTGTGTTCCCACCCGGGGAGAGCCTGCCATGGGCAGGTACCGGAGGAGCCCAGGATCGGGCACTGGTGAGTGCCTCCTCACCCTGCCCGTTGGTCTCTGAGGGCGTGAGCTCCCTTGGCCATAGGAGGATCTAGTGCACTCTGCCCACCACATTCCCAACAAAGGAGGACTTGGAGGAACAGAGCTGCGACACATCACACACATGGGAAGCTTCTATCGCTACAGAAAATGAGCAAGAGGCCATTCTGGGCCGCGGGAACAACCATCCTGAACTGCCATCAGCTACCACACTGGGCTCTGTGGGAGCAGCCATCCTGGATGACCGGAGCAGCCATCCTGACTTGGGGCATATGGACCAAACTGCCTTGGCTTGGTCTGGGGCCATCATGGGTGATGAAAGTGGCTCTCTTGGACTCGAGGACACTTGATCCTGGCAGCATGGATTATGAGATGGGCCAGCCCCCGCCCATCCAAGCTGTCATATTTCCCTTTGTTTCTTCCCACACCCAACTCTTTCTCCTGCCCTCTCCCAATACATACATCTTCCAATGTCCAAAAAGTTACAAAGTTTATATGAATATAACATACAAAGATGTAGCCTCCTTCCTAAGGAAGGGGTAGGAAGGGGTGGTAAGGCACAGGAAGTTGCAGCAAGCACCAGCTGAGGGAGAGGAAGTCGGCATTGGGGCCCTGGCCCTATAGCTATCGGGGCGGGGGAGGTAGGGATCCCCCTCGGAGCGCCATCATCTGAGGCTGAACTAATTGGCCAAGCTGATGCGGGGAGAGGGTGACCGGGTCAGCCGTCTTCGGTGCTGCTTGACCTTCCCCACCCCAGCCCTGTCATAAAACCCTGCATTCTAAGGCCTCATCTGGAGCAGAGGCCCTGGAGGGGGTTGGGAGAAAGGCAGCAGGGAAAGTTGGAAAGCCGATACGCCCGTGTGCTGAGGGTCTGCTGGAGGCAGCGGTGGGAAGTAGCAGGGGAAGGGCTCTCGTACATACCCTTCCGGAGGAGCTACAGGTGAAGCAGGCCAGGGGAGTAGGGGAGGCATGGGGCACCAAGCCTCCAGCCTCTCAGGCAGCCCTGTCTCTCCCCTGCAGTGCACATGGAGGGAAAGGGGCTGCCTCTGAGGTGGGGCCAGGGCAGGTGACCATCTTGAATTCTGGTTGAGATGATGGTCTCCTCACCCCGAGGTGGCCTCTAACTGGTGATGGCAGAGGGCCCAGCGCCTCCTCGCTTCTCGAAGAACATGTAGTCCTGAGGGAAGGGCACGGTCAGCAGGAGATCTGGCTGGGCCAGCCTGGCGCAGCTATCACAACCCAGGTCTGGAACCACAAGCCCCCACAGACTCTGTCCCTAACCCTCTCCTAGCAGGAGACCAAGAAGTGCTCAAAACCTCAGAGTGAGAGCAAAAGGGCAGCGGGGGCAGGGGCGGGGGCCCCGACTCACAATGAGGAATGTGGCTCCCAGCAGCACAGCCTTCACCCTCACGTCCAGGTCCAGTGGGAACTGCAGGCCGAGGTCATCTGCATCAGTGAGGGCTTCTCGGAGCAGCCCACCCCACTGCTTGCTGATGCGGCCCACACTGCGGGACTCATCTGGAGTCTTCACCTGGCAGGAGAGGAGGAAAGAGGGAGGGAGGGAGGACCCGCATGGGGAGGATGTGCCTGATCTCATCGGCATCCAGTCTCACTCCCACAGTCACCACATACGAACTGTGCAGGCTCTACACCTAGCGAGTCCTCCCAAAGCCTTGGGTTTCCATGTGACATCTGGGGAAACTGAGGCACCCGAGGTCACACTGTGAGCACACAGCAAAAATCAGGTTGCAGGCTCAGATCTGTTGTTCTTGAAAGGCCACATATGACTACTAGACATCAGTGCTGGGAGGAACAGAAGCACAATACAGTCTAATCTCCTTAGGGGATGGCCAGTCACTAGGTTTGTTTTGATTACCAAAGTCCCTGCCGCCCACGGTTCGTGCAGTTTGTGCCCTGCACAGAGTAGCCTGGCCAGGCCGGCAAGGGAGGCTGCTAAATGCCTGGCTGCACTCTACCAGCTGACCAGGCTGCTAGAAGGCCCAAAGGGGTGCCTGTCGTCCTCGCATCTGCAAGGTAGGGAGGACTCTTTAGCATGGCATGCAAGCCTCATCCAGGGTGCATCCAAGCCCATCTAGTGGGGGGAGGGGACAGCAGAAAGTGGCCTCCGAGGACCAGGATTTCCACTGGCCTCCCTAGGCCCAGCAGCAACAGGCCCTGCCAGTGTGGATGGTAATTCACCGTGACTCCCTGGACTTTCTCCTATGCTCATTCTCCAGTGGCTAGAACTAGAGCGATGTCCTTCCCACCTCCTTCCCACATGGTCCTACAGCCCTGGGCCATTTCCTGCAGACCAGTCCCAGGGTGGGTAGGGCCTCTCTCCCAGACAGCCCTGCGGTCCCAAGAGTGCAGCCCCAAATGTGGACCATTCATAATTATGTAAAAGGAAGACTGGCCCGTTGAGAACCCCACGATCTACATATTCCCAACCAGAGTTCACCCAGTTACCTCTTTCCCAACCAGTTCCCATCACAGAACCTTCCCCCAGCTACCAAGGTGACTCAGTTTTTAAAAGTAACCTAAGATAAGGCACATCGTCAGAAGCCTTGGAAAGTCTACTGGGATACACCTGTTGTTTCTCCCTCATCTACACAGATATTCAAGCGCCTCTGTCTTCTAGAAAGTAAGGTGTTTCCCAGGCCTTACTTTGAAATGGTCATCACTTGGGTTCTCCAGGCTCCAGGTTGGTGATTGAAATGCATGGTCAGAAGGATTCCAGGCTGGGGGTGGGTGGGTGGACATCTGGACTTATCGGTTGGCAGGGCAAGCCACAGGATGTTAACAAGTTAAATTAGTGCTTGCTCCAGGGCTTGGGCTCACGAACTCACACACAGCGGCCATGCGGGCCCAGCCCACAGTACACTCAGTAAGCATCCTTCACCCTAAATCCAGCCTGACCTTAGATTTTTTTTCTCCCTCAACACAGGGCTGCAGGTCACAATCAGCATTGGCCCTTAAGGTGAAACCCTCTTTGCCATATTTTTATAAGACCGTGGGCCATCCTATTTCTGAACAGAGGAAAACTGGAAATATGGTAGGCATCACAGTGGATTTGGACTGATGAGCTCATGACCGTCCTGTTGGCCATCCTGCCGCACGGATCATCTCGGTTTCTGAAGGTCCCAGGAATCTCCCCTTATTCCTGATACCTCGAAGTTGGTGTCTGTGCCACAGCCACAGGTCCAGCAGGGCCCCACCACTCGCAGGACGGTCTTGTGGTCAGCGTCTTGGATGGAGAACTTGGGGAGGAAGGGATGCCAGGTCTGTAGAACGTGGCCAATGGTGGTGCCTGGTGGAGCCTGTACTTCCATCTGGAGTGGGCAGCAGACAGGATCACTGCCCAGCCAGGCACCCTGGCCCAAGCGCTCACCGGTCTAGCTTTATCACCTGTCTCCTCTCACAAGACCTCCCATCCCCTTCACTAGACCACCTGTCATCCCTCTCACTAGACCTCCCATCCCACCTAAGCCCAGCTCCCACAGGAGGCACGCCTCATTTCATGCCTCATCCCGGTCGTGCCCTGGTCATCGGCCTGCCCCCTACCCAAGTTTCTCCCTGGCCCCATCCTTCCCTGCCCACCTCCTGGAGGCCACAGGGACAGCAGCTGCAGCCACAGTGGAGGGGGCGGAGCAGGCGCAGCACCTCTCTGTCCCCGGGGTCCACCAGGCGTACACGCAGGGGCCGGCGGGCGCCACAGCATAGCCGCGCACAGCAGTTGCTCTCCTCCGCCGCCTGACCCAGGGGCTGTCCGGCTCCCGAGCGCAGTTCGTAGCGGTTACAGGTCTCCCAGCCCAGGAGCGCTGCCAAGGGGTGACACACTGAGGCCCGGACACCAGCGCCTGCCCAAGAGCCCACTATTTGCCCCTGTCACAAGGCCCAACATACTCCTCCTTTCACTCACCTTCCACCCGCTCAGCCTTCTGGTGAATCAAGATCTGATCAATCTGGAAAGAGAGTAGGGGAACGCGCAGACATCAGCTGGCCGGCCTAGTCGCCTGGGTCCCCTCCCTGTCACTCCTCCCTCCCTCCCTCCCTCCCTCTCACTCACCTGCGCCAGGAATTCGAGGCCAAAAGGCACCCCTGGCAGTGGCAAAAAGGGGGCAGCTGGTCCCGGGGCCCCAGGGCCGGGCGAGGGGAAGAGAGCAAAGCCGGGCGCAGGGGTAGGCACGTGGGCGGGCATTGGTGCCGGCCCGGGCCCAGGATGCAGCGTCGGCTCCGGGTACCCAGCGGTCACAGGGTAGGGAGGTGGGGGCGAAGGGGCGTAGCCTGTGGGGGGCAAGTAGCCTGTGGGGGGACAGGAGTAGGTTAGAAGGGGCCCCCGACCTCATCTCTTTACCCCTTGGCCCATGGGCCGCGAGGCTGCGAGGAAAACGGGGTGGGAAGAGAATGAGAAAGATGGGGCGGGGGAGCAGGGCGGCGGCTTCTCGGGAGGAAGGGAGGGGCCCCACACAGCCAGTCCGAGCACATTCCCGGAGGATGCGTCCGACACCGGGTTCCCAAGTCCGTGGCGGGGGGGCGGATAACGGAGACCCTCGGCCTTGCGACCACTTACCTGCCATGGGAGAGGGGCGAGGGTTCGCGGGATGTCGCTGTCCCGGAGGCTTAGTTCTAGAAGTGGAGGCAAGCTCGGAGACAGCCAGACAGACACAAAGACAGACACAAAGATGGACAGGCAAACGCAGAGCGGCAGCTGCGCCCAGCGCCGGCCCAGGGTCTCTAGGGCGGCGCTTCTGACTCGGGGAGAAACCGAAAGTGTCAGCGGGCAAGGCGGGGGCCCTGGGACCCTGGATTCCCTCAGGGGCCCCAGAACCGCCCCCTCCCTTTGTTCTCCCATTCTCCGCAGAGGCGGCTGTTGGCAGACGCAGGACAGATGGACCCGCGGTCAGACCGACGGCCCCACCTCAAGGGAGGTCTCCTGACCCGTTCCCCCTTCTCACCTGAAGCCCCTAGAGTAGCCCGGGTGCCCAGCACTCGGCAGCTCTCGGGAGCTGGTGGAGGCGGGCCCAGGAGCTGACTCCACCCCCCGACCCGTCCAGGCCCCGCCCCTCCCAGCCTGAGCAGAGCGCCTGCGCAGGAAGACTGCCGGCTCTCCTGCGGCGCCGGGGACTCCAGGCCACCCGCTTCACGGCTTGGCGGGCGTCCCCGCCCTTTCCGCTCGGATGCAGAAGCCCAGAGAGGAAGCTCGCCTGCGAGGGTAGCCGGGTGAGCCCTATCCCTGCGACTCCCGCCAGGCCTGCGGGCGCAGAGTGGTCAGTGCCCCTTGGTGGGAACGAGGGCCGCTTGCGCGGCTCTGGAGCCCAGGCTCCTCCTCCCGAGGGCGGTTCGGGCCTCGCTGACGCAGCGGAACACCCTGCACACTCACCCATTGGCTTCTAGGACTGACTCCTGGCTCCCCTTCTGCCTCCCTGGGGCAACCTTGCCAGTCTCCTCTCCCTGACGTAGCAGTGACCCACACAGACCCGTTGCAATTATAGTACTTCCTTCAGGCGCCCCCAGCCACACGGGGGGATAGACTGCCAGACAGTGTCAGTAACGAGTGGGCGTGAGGTGAGGCTCAGGGGGGCCAGAGGAGACAGCGCGGTCCGCAGGAAAGCCTTCTCCCAACAAGAATCGCTTCTTTCGCTTTGTTTGAGTCCTGAGCCCAGGCCCGCAGGTGTGAGGAAGTCCTGCGCCTTGGGGGCCTACAGGCTGAGTGGCAAGAGATGAGTTCAGAGTCCGGCCCACGTGCACAGAGGGCCTTGTGGGAGCTGCGCTTTGGCCCCCAGGGCAGTGGGGAGCCCACTGAAAGATTTTCAGTCAGAGGGAGAAGGTCAGATGTTTTAGGAAAACCATTTAACCTGTATGGTGGAGACCAACAGAGGCCCCCAGGCTGGGTTGGCAGTAGTCTGGGGGAGAGGATGGTTGTGATAGTGTGGACAGACAGAAGTGGCAGATTTTGGAGATAATTAGACAATAATATAGAACTTGTTTGGGAAGTGAGATGTGGAGGTGAGGAGTCCAGGATGACCTCAGGTGCCTGTCTGGTGACCAGGCAGATGGAGGTCTCACCCATCAAGATGCACATGGGGAGAAGCAGGTTTGGCGGCTCCTTTGTCCCTATGTCCATGTTCCTCTGGACTGGTCCTACAGCTTCAGTCATCATCTTCAAACCCAAATGCTGGACCTCTCCCCTGGTATCCCTTAGCGCCCCAGATTCTACCTGGCCCAAACCACGCGCCAGCCTCCACCAAAACACAGACATACAGAAGTTCAGTTATTCAACAGAGATTTAATGATCCCCTACTATATGTCAGACAGGTAATAGAAATATTTAGCAGTTTTTAAAAATTCCCAGTCTCCTGGGGTTTACATTTTAGTGGGGAAGAGACAGACAAGGTACATAAAATACATCAGAAGTCAGACGGTGACAAGTGCTATAAAGAAAAATAGAGCAGGATAAGAAGGACAGAGAATGGTGGACGAGAGTTGCAATTTTATAGGGGGCAGACTAGAAAGTGATGGCTGAGCAAAGACCTAAAGGAGGTCAAGGATTAAGCCATGCAGACTTCTGGGTGAAGAGTTTTTCAGACAGAGGGAACAAGGGCAAAGGCCCTGAGGTAGAAGTGTGCCTTGTTTGTTCAGTGAACCAAAAGGCCAGTGTAGCTGGAATGGAATGAACGAGGGGGAGGAAAGAGAGGTCACAGGAGGCCAGATCACATACAGCCCTGTAGACCATTGGCTTCTACTCTGAGTGAAATGGAAAGTGTTGGAGGGTTTGGCCAGAGAAGAGATATGAGATTTACATACTGTGACAGTGTTCCTCAACCCTGGCCACAAGTTCGAATCATCTGGGGTGCTGTAAAAATACCTCTAGCTGGGCCCCACTTCATAGCAATTACATTAGAATATCTGGGGTGAGGTGCAGACATAGGAACTTTTTGAGAATTCCCCAGCAGATTTTAAATTGCAGCTAAGGCCGAGGGTGACAGTGTTAGAAGGATTTCTCTCTGTCTCTCTCTCAGGCTGCTTTGTCCGGAGTAGGCTGTAGGTAGGCAAGGGCAGAGGGAAGTTCTTTCAGAAAGCTAGATGAGATTTGCAGGTGGCGTGGACCAGCTGCCAGAGTGGTAGCAATGGAGGTGGTGAGAAATGGTCAGTTTCCAGTTATGTATTTGAGCCAACAGGACTTGATGATGGCTTGGATATAGAATGTGAGGAAAAGGGAAGTCAAAGTTGACTCAGGCTTGGCCCAGGAGACCCTTCACTCTTACTGCTTTGTCATTTCCTGCCTGCCCACTCCATCCTGAGCTCCAGGCACTCCAGTTCTCCTCGACTTGTTACCAGTATAATCTTGTCCGTTTTTCTGGTGAACTATGCATGCTGAAAACCCAGCAAATGCGCCAAAGTCTTACCAGTCTCCTAAGGCAAACAAGCCCACCTCAGTATCTACTTGTAACACTGAACACATTGTATCAAATTATTTTTTAAAGGGTCTGTCTCCACTGCTGAAATCTGAGTTTCTCGGTATGTACAAGAAGGAAAAAGCTCAGCTTTGGGAACTGGACAGAAGAGAGTTTCAATCACAGCTTCCCCAGGTCCTGGCTGTATGACACAGAAGTTGCTTCACCTCTCTTAGCTTCACTTTCCACTGACTTGCAGGACTGTTGAGAAGACTGGACACAATGTGCAGCAATAACAGGGACCAATTACCACGTGGTCCTTATTTATCTTGGTTTTCCAAGAGTCTGACCCACAGGGAGGATCAAAGCAAAGGTATTAGGGATATATTACATGGACGGTGGCCATGCCAAATGTCAGGGTTTCCTCCAGCTGGAGGTTCCCTGTGCTCCAGATGCTGCCTGAGATGAAGGGTGGATGGAAATGCAGCAAGGGCACTGCACTGGGAAGTAGGAGCCTGGGGGTCCAGTGTCGGCTCTGCCACTGGCACTCTGGACCACTCTGGAGGTCCCCCTGAGGCCTTATTTTACTCTATTTTATTTTATTTTGGCCGCACCGTGCGGCTCATAGGACCTTAGTTCCCCAACCAGGGATTGAACCCAGGCCCACAGCAGTGAACTCGCAGAGCCCTAACCACTGGACTGCCAGGGAATTTCCCTCTTTATTTAATTTTTTCAAATTTACTTATTTGGCTGCACTGGGTCTTGGTTGTGGCACGCGGGACCTTCATCCCAGCATGTAGGATCTTTTTTTTTCGTTGTGGCCTGTGGGCTCTTTAGTTGTGGCATGTGGGGTCTAGTTCCCTGACCAGGGATCAAACCCGGGCCCCCTGCACTGGGAGCGTGGAGTCTTAGCCACTGAACCACCAGGGAAATCCCTCCCCTCATCTTTAAAATGAAGAGATATTGTGATCCTCTACTAATACACCTCAAGTGTATGCCTCCTCCCTGGATATAAATGCTTCAGTGGCTCCCCATTGCCCTCAGAAGGGTCCAACCTCTCAGCACAAGGCATTCCACCATTTGGCCCCGTCTGTCCTCATCTTTCACTACTGACCCTCTCATGATCTTCAAGCCAGCCACCAGCAATTCTTTCTGGTCTTGACGGCACAGGGCTCTCTTGCCTCCAAGGCTCTTGCCTTGGTCTGGAACACGCCGCTCTCCCTCATCACTTCACTCCTGCAGGTCTCCACTGAACACTGTACACTGCAGCTGCTACAGGGTCTGGAGCTTAGCCAGGACTAGGGTCGGAGATAAATTCTGGATTTAGAAATATGCAGATTGTAATTAAAGCTATGGGGCCAAATGAAATTACCTAGAAATCGTCTCACTCAGCTAAACGGTCTGCACTTTTTTGAATGCACACCGTCAGAAAAATTAAGTATGTACCCCCCAGTATACTATACAGATATGCACGTTTATAAAATATACACAAAAATAGAAATTTTAAAAGGTGAAATTAAAATATGTATACCTATGAGTTCAATTTTTTTTTAATTAAAATTTGGAAACCATTGATTTAAATTGGGTATAGACAAGAAGCCGGCAGAGGAGCCACAGAGATAGGGAAGAGCAGGAGAGTGGTGTCAGAGAAGGAACAGGATGTGTTCGAGGACAGTGTGGCCAACTGTGTCAGATGCTGCAGAGGCTGAGGAAGGTGAGACTGAAAATCATCCACTGGGTCTGGCAACCAAGAGGTCATAGTGATTCATGGGATCCTTCCAAGGGCATCTATGGGGAAGAGATGGGATAGAAGACTGACCAGAGTGGGCTGCAGAGTAAACTTGAGGCCAGATCTCTCTCCTGAGCTCAGACACCTCCCTGAGCTCCCCAACTACCTGCTTGGTGCCTCCACTTGGATGTCTCCCAGGCATTTCAGAAGCAACATGTCCAAAACTGACCTCCTGATCTGCCTCCCTCTAACCTGCCCCACCCTTCATTATTTCTCATCTAAGTAACAGCACCTCCATCCAACCCGGTGCGTAAACCAGAAATCTCCCTCTCATTCACCCCTTCTGAATTGAACATTTTTACCACCTCTTCCACCCTCGGCCAAGCCACCGTCACCATCTCACACCTGGACCTCTTTAGTGGCCTCCTGGCTGGTTTCCCTGTTGCCATCCTTGCTGTCCTCTGATTGGTTCTCCAGATCTTTTAAACACATAAATCAGATCCTAGCACTCTCTCACTTTAAACCTTTCAGTGACTTAACCGTTGCGCTGCAAATAAATTCTGAGCGCCTCACCACACCACACGTCAGCCACGCTGCTTTTGCTCTTTCTCCAACCCGCCCAGTTCTCTCCTGCCTCAGGGATTTCAAACTGCTCCATCTCGGCCTGTTTGCCAGGTATTCTTTCTGCCAAAAACACACGTGCCCTCCACGCTGCGCATGCTTAGTTCCAGCTTCAACAGGACCTCCTCTGCGAGGCCTTCCCATCTAAAGGGGCACACCCTCCACTGCCCCACTGTTCCAGCCCCCCTGTTCTTTTCTTTCAAGCACATAGCATACCTCACAGTGATATATTTGTGTTTAGTTGTTTAAGGTCTGTTTCCTATACCAGATGGGAAACCCCACGAGGGAAACATGGTGTCTGTTTCGTGCATGGTTCAATTTCCTTGTAACATGTGTCTGTCTGACACGTGACCAACACTTGACGAGCACTGGTTTAATAAAAATTGCCCACTAAATACCCTCCAGTTCTCTGCTATAGGTGCTACTCCAGCCCACCTTGCCACCTTTTCTCATTCCTCTCCTGCCTAAGTCAGAAACTCATCCCACACCGAGGACTCAGGTGGCCCCATACCCCTCCCCTCCCACCTCTGTCTTTGTTCACTGTTTCAGCCACACAACAGAGCTCTTTTAAGAATCATCTCAAGCACTGTGAAGCATTTTCTGACCCCCAATACATGATGTTCTGTCCCTGCTTTGAACCCCAAAGTATTTTTTGTAACTAATGACACCTCATCCCGCCTTGCCTTAACCCTGACTTCTAGAGTA